CATGATAAGTATTACCTGGTGCACAAACACATATAATCTATTGATTCAGCTCTAGGAATTTTTTACAAAAGACACTACAATAATAGGATGTCAGACCAAGGTCGACCATACAGTAATATACAGAGTATACATCCAGTAAATCAGTAAAAATCAGTCCGTGTCTAACTTCCAACCGCGACATCTGCAGTCTTAAAGACCACGAGATTCGAGACGGTTGCGGAAGATCTTCTGGAATTGAGGAACGTGGTCAAAGTCCATGAGAGTGTAATGTTGTCCAGGGACATCAGTGTATGAGGCCTGGCCACGGCTGAAGCCGTCCCAAGGCTTGAGTTGCTTGTTGAGCCAATCAGCCTTGGTTCCCTTTAGGGGGATGGCGTAGAAGACATCAAGAGCGGCTTGACACGATCGTCAGTGAGAGAATAAAACTACAGGATCACGGGCACTCACAGACTGAGCCAGATGGGTTATACTCCTTGCCACACTCAATTAGGGAGCCAGCAATGTCGACCCAGTGGTCAAGCTTCTCTTGCGTGAGCTGGAGCTCAATAAGACGCTCGGGAGGTGATAGCTTCCAGACGACCTCCAGTTGTTCCTTCCGCGAGAGAGGTCTCAAAGTGGGTGTGAGGTCATTAGCATCTTGCTTCGTCACAAGGCCAAGGAAGTATGAAAGGTTGAGCATGCCACCAGTCCAGTCGATCTCATGCATGCGGTCGGCGATATGAGGGGGGATGTTGATGAGACCGACGAATTTGACTTCATCACCCATGGCCTCGAGGCGCTTAGCGACCTCAAAGGCAACGACACCACCGTAACTGTAACCGGAGATGGCGTAAGGACCGGTGGGTTGAGTCCTCTTTACTGCAGCAGCGTAGGTGGACACCATTTCGTCCATGGAGGTAAAGAAAGGGTGACCTGGCTCGAAGCCACGAGCACGAAGAGCATAAAAGGGACGTTCGTTCTGGAAGTACTTGGCGAGGTTGACGAAAATAAGGACCTCGCCGACACCGGGGTGAACGAAGAATATGGGTGTCTTGTCACCCGTGAGTTGCAAGGGAACGATAGGGTCGTACTCCTCAGTGGCACTGTCCTTTGAGAGGAGAGCGTTGATATAATTCGCCAAGCTAGAAATGACGGGGTGCTTGAGGATCTGGATAGTGGGTATCTCAGGCAAACCAAAGTGTGCTTCGCCCTCGCGCTTGAGTCTGATGAAAAGAAACGTGAGAGGCATTCGTTATCAAATATCCGGTATTGCTTACCTGATGACATCGATAGAGGTACCGCCGAGCTCGAAGAAGTTGTCGCTTGCGGACATTTCATTCTCGCTGAGGTTAAAGATACCAGCGTAAATCTTGGCAAGAGCTTTCTCGGCCTCCGTGGAAGGGGTGACAAACGAAGAGCCCCGAGCCTCACTCAGAAGCTCCTCAGCACGACCGATGTGCTTGGCAAGTTCTCCCTGTTTGAAGAGACTGACAAGGCGGGCCCTCGAAAGCTTTCCAAGAGTAGTCTTCTCCATCTGGTTGACGGGAATGGGGATGATGAATTGAGGAGGGAGGGTGATCATTTTGACACAGATGTCACGGAGGGCGCGGTGCGTGGCAAATAGTTTCATGGAAGCATCTTCGCCGTTAAGGTCGAAAGTAGGAGAGTAGAAGATAATGAAGCCTTCAGTCTCCTGTCCGGGTGCACGGTAGGGAGCAGCAGCAAGGAAGGAATGCGTGACACCCTCGACAGTCTGGAGGTGCGTTTCCAGCTCTGGAATACCATATGACACACCGTGGACGATAACAGTGTCTTTGATGCGGCCACTGAGACGCATAACACCGTCCTCGATAATGCCGACATCACCAGTGCGGTACCAACCATCAACAAAGCTGGAAGATGTGGCCTCTGCGTTGTTATAGTAGCGGACGAAAATCATGGGGCCGCGGACTTGCAGCTCGCCGCTCTCTCCGTCCCTGCGGACCGTTTTGCCGTCTTCGGGGTCAACGATACGCATCTCGCAACCGCGTACAGGGCGGCCCAAGTCGAGGAATTCGTGTTTGGGCTCGGTAGTGCTAAGATCCACTGGCTCGTAGATACACCCGGCACTAAGATCAATTAAGTCTTGGCGCCACGATGCAGGCCAAGAATAACTTACCAAGTCTCGGTCATACCAAATCCAGGTGAAATGACGAAAGAAACTTTGAGAGGGTCTTTTGCAAGTTTCTTCAGGACAGTTACAAACGACTGAGCAGTCTTCGAAAGGACAGCCTCCCCTCCGCTGTTGATGCGCTTGATTGAAGAGAGGTCGAAGGTTCCACTGAGATCAGACCTCTTCTCCAAGTCCCGCGTGAGTTTCGCAAGCAAGAAGTTAGGGCTGAAGGTAACGTTGATGGACTTCTCGTCGATCAGACGGAGGAAACGAAGTGGGTCGGAGAGAATAGCGGATGCATGGACATGAATTTGAGAGGCACCAAACAACAAAGGAGTGATGTGCATCTCCAAGGAGCCCGCGACATGGTCGAATCCAACCCCTGGGAAAATATCAATATCGGTAACGACGGCGATTAAGTCGACTTACAGTTGAGGACATTAGTCTTCGGAGTTAAGCCATAAGCCTCTCCTTTAGCGGAGCAAGCGGCCAAAATAGTGCGATGGCTGTGGACAACTGCTTTGGAGAAACCAGTAGATCCAGAGGTTAAAAATAGGATTGCCTCGTCATCCGGCTGGGCGGTACGGGCGACCCAGTCGGCAGAAACGCGGTATTTCGAAGCCGATGCCTTGAGCTGCGAAAGGAGGTAAACCTCCAGACCGCTGATGGAATTCACCTGATCAGCACCGGACTCATTAGTGAGCCAGATCGCGGACGAGAACAGGTTTTTGATATGAGCGACATGGCCCTCCTTGTGAGCCTGCTGGGCACTAAGGGCGGGTTGCAAGCACGGAACGTAGCCTGCAAGGAGACAAGCCCAAACAGCGGCCATGTTATCCTCGTGCTCAGTTAGGTAGACAACGATAACTGAGCCAGCGGGCTTTTCCCAATCCAGCATGGCGCGAGCGAGGTTGCGCACATACTGGTTAAAGGAGCTGAATGTTGTCGCTCGAATGGAAGAGTCATGAGCGGAAGATGTGATGAATCCGAGCTCGTGCGAAGGATACCGCTCAGCAGCTTGAGAGAGAACGTCGTGCAAGGTGACTGGGAGTGCTGCAGACATTGCGATATTAATCTATGTGTTACGAGTGATTAGATGTAAGCTGATGTGCTTTATGGGAGAAGAGGGAAAAAAATAGAGAAACAAGAGGCTGCTGGTAGATGCCAATAGAAGAAGACTGGACATCCTTTTTATGCAAGAAGAGGCGATAGACTAACCTCAGAGCGCTGAAGAAATTGGAAGGTCGTTGCCGATGGTTTCAAGCTAGTAGGCAAGTGGTTGTATGGTGACAGAAGACTAGTCCAAAGCAGCGCACAGTAGATAAGTGGTTGTATGGTGATAGAAGACTAGTGCAAATCAGAGCACAGAGTCGCACAGGACGACTGAGGCTAATAAGGTTGGAGATTCGGGATACTTGCGGAGAATAGATTGTCGTGGCGATGATGAATGGTACCACGTTTTTGCGCCATTAGTGTTGTGATTGTCTGTCACACCTGAGGCACGACAGTATCCGTCTGTCAATGTCATTTGTCTGATGGAGTCCTGAGGCCGGAGATCTCATGATACCAAGATCATGCGGCACATGCTCATTCCATTTTCAGAATCAGTTTCTGCAAAGCAGCAACATTTGGATGAATGTCGAGATACCTATGGACGCAGTTCGTTTACGTAAAAAAAATTAGCAGGCGTTTCATAGTTTCAGAGCTGAGCGCTATCTATCCTGAAATTAGTTCGAGCACAGCAAATTGATCAGTCTAGTACCGTATCGTTGAGAACGGGTTTCCTCTAGTAGAGGCTGACCTAACAACGACCTCTGCGTGGGCGGACCGCTGCAGTGAATTTTCCGCCTCTGCCGCGATTGCATTTATTGGGCGCTGAAGATCATACTAAGATGGTTCTAGTGGACGGCCAAAAGTTGGATCTAACCGCATAGACGGTATATGCTTTGATTGGCGGATAACTTGTCGACACCTGAGGCACGGCCAAGAGTCGGTGACAGATTCCGTTCAAACTGAGGGACGCCCTACAGGTCTGGTTAGATAAGAGCCTGGACAGCTCAAGAGGTGTGCGATGAGTAAAGACTAAGTCGTTGTACCGTGACTGTAACGCCACAAATTCTTACGTAAGTGGTGTTGCATCCAAACTGCAGCACGAATTTTTCAAAATTTGGCCCTTTACCGGGACCTTTGCATCCAAATTAGGCTAAATGACGTGACGGGTGGGGCGAAATTTTTGAAAAACTCATGCTGCGGTTTTTTATGCAATATCACTGTCAGTCATGTTTTGACAGTTGAAAATTCAAAACGATCGAACGGGATCGAAAAAAGGTCCCGGGGAACCGCTGATACATGAGTGCAAGTGGTACGAGAGCGTACAAACTAGAGCTTAACGTAGAGGGCATGGTGAAAACATAGCAACTTCAAGATCAGGGAAAACCTCCAGAAATTCTTGAAAGACAAGTTTTCTTTATATATTATATCACATGTGTGGTGTCAAAATTTTCAGCTGTTACATAATACATGATCCTAGGGTTACCACGTCGTCAGCAGCTTTGATGATCGTTGGACACCGGGGCCTGTGTAGCAGCTGAAACCATATCATATGGCTTATCTTCGCTGTGAACAGGTGTAGCGCATTATCTGCAATCAGATTGGATACTGCTTTTGTTGGGCACGGACATGCCAACTTCCAAGACCTGGCCTCAGCCTCGGAGCGGTAGAAGGTAAGCTGGAATGGATGTGCTAGCCGCTGCAAGTACATACTGAGTTTTGGACCTGGATGAGTTATACGAGTCGGGACTCGGGACTGAAAGTAGAATCTTCTTATATAATAAGCTGACTAATAAAATGATCGATCCGTAACAAGTATCTTTGAGGTATCTACCACATCCATACGGACCAGTCGATAACATCACTATGCGTGCCTATTACTTCGATGACATTCCAGGCGACAAACGGCTGCTGCACGATTCCGGAAACCCTGTGTCAGACAATATCCTGAAATCTATCGGAGTACTGCACTGGCACATCCCGACCAGCCAACAGGATCAGATTGATACTGTTGCAGAGGAAAGAAGCTACAAGAACAGAGACACTATTACAATCACAAAGCAAGGCCTTGGAGATCTATACGAGGCCAAGTTAAAGAGCTTCTATGAAGAGTACGCTCTGCTTTCACAACATCGTGTCTGTACTCGGCAACAACTTGAATACCAGGCACATGCATGAAGACGAGGAGATAAGATATATTCTCGAAGGTAGCGGCTTTTTTGATGTTCGAGGTAAGTAGAGAATTACGCATTCCATGCATACTCTGATGGCTCGCCATCCAGAACATCCCTCAGATTCATGGATTCGTTGTCAGCTAGACGCGGGCGATCTCTTGGTTCTCCCCGCTGGCATCTACCATCGATTCACTCTCGATGAGAATAACTCGATCAAAGCTTTGCGTCTCTTCAAGGTTCGTATTTACCATTATTTATTTATGGGTTTTAAAAGAAACATTCACAGGATGAGCCCAAGTGGACTCCTCTCAATCGCGGCGGCTCGACAGATGTGAACCCTTACCGTGTCGATTATTTGAAGAGTCTAGCTGTCAACTGATTGAAGCGGGTAAGAAGTCCAGTCTTTCCCATGGGGATGCACCCAGGGGGATATACCAGAGGTCTATGTAAAGGAGAATTGTGTAACAATACGAGTGGAGGTATCATCGTCATTGCTGAGAACTTTCCAGAAGGCACACCTTCTTGCTGGCAATTGCGCGTCACAGCCTACTTGCATAGACGAGAACGGTTGAGTCGCAGAAACCGATTGGTGCACCACAATGCACGATGTGGCACACGAATGTCCTTAAACCGCGACATCAACGAAAGTTGGCGATGACACAGGCCGAGATGGATTTCTTAACATCTTACCGACTTTGTCAATCGTGCTGGCTTTTTTGGTAGCGGGAATGACTGATGTAGGACGAGTAATGGTCCAGAAACCTCACAGAATGTTTGCCTGCTATACGTACTGACTACGCTGCAAGCCCTGAATTTAGTGATAAGTTGTGTGGAGAGTAGAGTTATGTAAATTCCCGACATCTTGTCGAGAAAATGTGCTCCCCAAGTGACTGAGTTCGTATTGGGATATTCATCGAGCTACGTGGTATAGTCAACTTGTCGTTGACGCATACAGTGAATTCACAGGCTCTTCTGAATCTCTTCCCCCTGACTTTTTGTTGTGAATAGTTGTGAGAGCTGTGACAGTGGTGTGGTACTTATACACGTCTTAATTAACGCATCGACGCCCTTACAGCTTCTACCACTATGACCGGAGCTTCGCACGTCTGTCCCAGGTACCTTTCCACCTGCACTCATGGGCACTCGCGGGTATTACGTGTACCACCATCGAAATATGAATTTCGCTCACTATTATCGCCCTGATTTCCAACCGCCCGTTCTTGGCGTAGGCGTGCTTGACTCCATGAGTTTGCCCTATGGAATTGAGGGAGCGGCAGGAGTCGGAACGAATATTAAACGAGTGGGACTGTCACATTCGCAGTCCAGTGGAACTACTTCATTACAGTAGCTACTATGGAGGACAAACACCACTGGACAGCAAAGATGTCGTTATTTCCAGTCGGTGACCACGAAATGGCCTCGACGTCGAGTGGATCTACGAGATCGAAGTTGATTGTAATGTTTTCCACAATGAAGGTGGGGGCTAAAGACAGAGTCTAGAAGCGAATTAAAATAAAACAAAGCCGGCGTGCAAGATAAACGTGAAACATACCTCAGCGTCTAAGAAGAACTGCTGATGTATAAACAGACGCAGACAGAGAACCTATAAGGTAATTACGTAAAGAGGCGGTGACGACAAAGAGAAATCTGAGTGACGATGTTGTTCATCCAACATTCTACGTCAACAGGTACCAGTTTTTGACACGGAATGCCTTCCAGACAAATTTAAAGGGGCTCTTCTCGCACACGCACTAAAAGAACGTGTCGACAATCGCGAAAATATAGCTTCGAAAGCGGGGTACACCCCTGAGCAGCTGTACAAGTAACGAGAGACCAGGGCCGCCGGTTGTGGACGGTCAAGACTTCGCAACATACCAATCATTAGCGTCCACAGCCACAGGTGAGTTTGAGCGACCTATTCGCCATCAGTGATGTATTGTCTTCAGATGAGCAGGTTCGGGTTCGTTTGTTAGAGATGATGGCTGGGCAGTGCATTAAGTACCCTGTCGGTCGAGGAAACATGAAACCGCCACACGCTCGTGCATCCGTTATGAAAGGAGACAGCCATGTGATCACACTCTCAACCAAGCTGAGATTAATCTCGAGTAAGATCAACTAGAAACAATATTTCGTTCTTCACGAGTATCCTGTTTTACACGATAAGCCACACCCATGCATACAATAGTTCCACTGTTTCACGCTCTGGAAAAGATGATATCGTTAATCAATATACACGCCTAGCAGAACTAGTTGTCAACACACCATTTACGCTCAACAAGCGCCCAAATCTGATTAGCACCATGCCACCTCGTCCAGAGCTGAACCGGCGTGCCTTCCGTCGCATTCCCCTTATCGGACAAATCTACACTGAATTTCTTGTCATGGAGTAATATCCTAGTGAGGGGTAACAAATCAATCCACCGTCAAACATACCACAAGAAAGGCGCACCTAACACCTTCAACGCCTTCCATATCAGAATCTTTGATATCCCACTTGACAGGAGACGGAACGGCAACGACTCTAGTACCATTACCAGCATCGTTCACATCGCCTTCGATCCCGAGATATTTATCGGCCCCGACGGACTTGATGAACCAGCCGTTATCAGCTTGTTGGAAGATCCACTGCGAATGGTACGCAGCTCGTTAGTGAAACTTTTCTGTGATGATTATTAGGAATTTAGCGTTACCGCTTGGTTGGGACCGTTGTGGTCGCGATAACCGATGACTACAGGTACAATAGCGTTAGAACTGCCTTGGATCGGCTGGAGACTTGAAGGGAATACTTACTAGAGTAGTTGTCCCCACCAGAGAGATCGATAACAGTACCCCCCTGACAATTCCTAAGGGTGTAAATGCTTTGGTTCTGAATGCAGGACATGGTAGTACGTGCTCAGAATATTCGCTACCAACAGCTTTGTATTTATACCTGGCAAAGCAATACGTCAACGATCGACTTGGGCGCTCCAAGCTCCGGGTGGTCAATCACGAATCATCTTAATCAATACTGAAAGGGGCTCGTTTAGTCCGATGAGTTGGATTTTATCAGCAAGACGCCGCTATCGATGGCACTATGACGAAAGATCAGTGATCAGACAGGGGTAGAATAGAATCTCCTTGCGCCTGGGTCCCAGCCGTATCAGGAAAGAAGCCAGCCCCCCGCGTGATGCTTGTACGCATGCTCGTCATACAAGGGACAACTATGTTCACGCCAAGTTGGAGAATCGAAATACAAGCAGTCAACGTTGATCATCAATAGAAATATCCAAGGCACGCGTAAGTATTGGTGAGACCCTATATATACAACAAATCGTAAAATCTTGTAGTCTTTTTTTGTACCAACTCACATACACACAAGCTTTTCACCCCCACCGATCATACAAGGGACTTGCAGAGCATGCCCTCAAGTCGGCAATACTCAGGCACGATAGCAGCGTACGTCATGAACGCATCTACGTCCGCCTCAGCGACCTTCGCCAACCCAATCTGTGCCTCGGCATCAGAAGTGGGCAAAGCAGTTACAGGAGTCAGAGTAGTTGTTTGTGGCACGACAGCTCCAACTCCGCCACCTGGACTCCCTGCGCCTGCATTGAGATCGGGGGTTGTGAACGCAGTCGAGGGTCCGATAGATCCACTGCTCGTCACAGTATCAAGTGTAGAACCTGTGAGCGTTCTCATGCGGCTAATGTCCCTGCCAAGATCCCTGTCTGCAAATCCACCTGCAAACACTGAAGAGGCGAGTATACCGTTCTCACGCTCCAGCTCCTCGTCTTCCTCTTCCTCGACAAATACAGTGGAGCCTAGTCCCGAGCGATGACCATAGGGGGTGCTAGTACCGCTGTTGGCTCCACTGCCTCCGCTCCCACCTAAAGGAGCATTTACATTGGTCCGCAGCGGGTTACCACCGCTCGCGACCCAGCGCTTTCCATGCAACCTCCTAATCTCCTCCTCAAATCCGCCGAGTCCTCGACCGGTACTTGATCCACCAATAGCAGAACTACGCTCCTTTCCCCATATCCACCGGGCGAAATAGGCACCCCCTAGTGATGCACGGCCAGGGAAGCCGTTGGCAGGTGCGTTGCGGTGGGGCACTACTTGTGCGGAATCAACCTGGGTGCTGGGCATGAACACGGGTGCGTTGAACACATCGCCTGCAAGATTTGCGACGGAGGGGAAGTTGGCAGCTGCGCCAGTGACGAGTATTCTTGCAGGGAGTGGGGAATAATCATATGGATCAAAGGAGAGTCCAAGGCTAGATGCGATGTTTGAACGGGGATTCTGCCCTTGTGGCGATGTAGGACCAGGTGTCTGGGCAACGTTCCCTCGAGACCGGTTGATATTCGAACCAAGAACACCGGTGGCGATCATCCTTGACCACCGAAAGCGGAATGAGAGGACCTGGCTCTCAAGAAGACATCGAGGGTTTGCGCGAAGGTCCCGGAACTCGTTGACTTTGATCCCCGTCTCAAAGCGATAGATGCCTTTGACGTGTGATAGTGGGTAGCTGTCGCCCTGTAGGAGCCAAAAACTGAAGAGCTTATCATCGAGACTGCGAATTATTTCAGAGAAATAAGATAAACGTTTCAAATTCATTTGCATGCACGTACCCTATGGATCCACCAGGTGGCACGATGGCAACTAGCCGATCAAATGCACTCCAGCTCTTCGTATACATGTCTCTTACAAGGGCACGCGGAACGTCAGCATTTCTGCAAGCAAAACATGAGAAGCTGTCCAAGGTGCGAGGCTATGTAATTGCATACCTGCTGCTTAACATAGCGATGTATCGTCGCTTTTCGCTGGCATCCTGAGCAGGATGGGGGAATAGGCTGTAAAGTCGAGTTGGTAGGTAATGTTGAGCAGGAGTGAGAAGGGTATCCATTGGTCCAAATGAAAGCACTGCATCCCCTGGAGATGGACAGAGAGATAGGTATGAGGAAAGGTAATCAGAGGTGAAGGGTGTGACAATCGTATCTGCAAATACATTAGTGGGCTGCACACATTGTGGTGAATGAGTCTCACCGGGTTCGAATCCGTATCGTTCACATAGGTATCGCGAGATATGGGCCGCCTTTCTCCCTCCAGCGACCTCTACGTCGCCCAACCACGTTCGGATCCTCCGACCTTCTTCCCGGTTCCCACCTACGATTTCCAAAACACCCTCGTCCCAGCGGCCCAGTCCAGGCGCACCTTGTGCGCTGGCGCCAGCACTGGCATGCACCCACATACCAGTCGCGCAGGCCTCTGACTCTCCCATATTTACCCACTCCCCTACGACCATACTTGCAAGGAATTGGCTGGCAAGCTGTATCTTCCCCGTTCGCGACCAGACATCAGATGTCCACGATTCGCGAACTCGGAGGAGTTGGGCAGCTAAGAGTGATGCGTTGGCGCATGTGCCGACGCGAGCGGCCATGAGGTCTGGGCCGCCAAGGAGGGCTTCGAGGGCGAGGGCATGGGTATGTGCAGGACGTATCCTGAGCGACTGGTGTATTCGGTAATGAGAAAGTGTTGGGAGGAAGTTGGGAGTGAAACGGGAGTCGGGGGTCCAGTGCTGGAAATGAAGGAATGGGTGTCGATTTCCACCACACGAGAGCATGCTGTATGTATCACATCAGGACGGAGTCTTCACAGCTTAATATGAGCGAGTCACCTGAGCACAACCACCGATTGATTTTATCCTCGTTACATCATGATTCCTAGTCAATTTTTCCAGTAAAAAGTCTGTTACCACCAACAATTTAAAATCCAGTTGTGTTCAGGGGGGGAGTAAACAATGTTCCCGCGCACGTGGTAAGTGATCGGACAAATACCCAAAAATCCAAATTGGTTAAGTCGAAGCAAAAAATTTGCTTCCGCCAGTTTACGCACCAAGAGCCTTGACCCACATATCTACTGGTGTGGTGTATGCATCTCCTGGAGTAGTGAAAATTCCTCCCTGAGTCCTATTAAAATATTAGCTCTGCAATAAAATGACTCTAGACGCGATGTGAAGAGAGCATGTGGCAATATTTGAGCGCGTCCAAGTCACTGACAGTGGGAGATGGAAGAATAGAATATATGCCAGAAGAACACGTACTGATATTCAGGCAATTCGGTGTCAAAATCAACGCATTCTACTCCCACAAGCTCCAAGCTCTCATCCACGATCGAAGCGCGCAGTTGATCGGTAGCAAGTTCAAGTCCGAGGAATAGCGCAGGGCCTGTCTTTGGACCTGGTGCCATCGTCGACCAGATCAATTGATGGTTCAATTAGGGATCGACGTCGTGATTGCGAATCTATAAAACAGAGAAGATGATGGTATCGGGTATAACAAGCAGATGATGATATATTTTTTGGAAAAAGATGCAAGCAAGTCCTGCGGCTCCTGTTAGCGACGGTGATCCTGTGGTCGTGAAGAAAAAAACAAGAGAAAGTAGAGAGAGACAATTATGAAACGATTCGTTGAATTCGATTCTCAGGCTCGCATTCGCATGTCCAAGTGTAGGAGTACATTGATCTAGACGGGCCGTTTCCCACGCCTTTATCTTACTTTGAAATTATCGTCATTTCAATGGCACTCTGAACCGCGCAATAAGGAGGACAGGGAACAAGGTCGCCTTCGCCTGTATCAATTCTGGCGTACGAGACTTCCTGGCCTACTTGGATGCCTTCCCCGCCAGATGTATACTGCGTAGCTCGTGTCGAGCTACGGAGCGCTCCTTCCTCCACCTAAGCTACGTAATCTACTCTCCTGGCTTACAAAACCTCCCAACGCCTAGTACGATTGACTCCTTGTCATTATCATCGCGAGCCATTGGATGAGCTGGACTGGGCCTGGCTTATGCATCAACAACTCTGATGAGACAACACGTCTTATTTATCCATATTTGCCTCGATGCCTACTTATACCAAACCACATATCAGATCATCGCTTCTTACTCCGCTCACATTATCTCTGTCTGATCCAGACCTCAGTGTTTCCGTCCCCTCACGCTGGCACTGGTTTTGCCTTGCATATCTGCCTATCTTTCGACAAGTAGCTCGGGAGATGGTTCTCGAGCTTTCGAGATGTCACCTACTTGAATATTCTATCAGCAGACACGGCGTTTACTGAGTAGAGTATTCAGGTAGATTGGCTGGGGGAGATAATGAGAAGCTCGTTCGAACATCTAGTCACCGATTCCTACCTCGCATGAATGCTTGCATGGGTGAACTCCGGATGATTTGGTACAAGAGACGCGGGAGCAAAAAAAGAGGACCATCAGAAAACGCAAGCGCCTCGAGTCAAGGAAACAGGCAATGTAAGCATCATGACCAATCTAGCAAAGCGTTCAGGAGGTGGCGGACTGACTACTGCATAGGGAGGGGCGACTTTTGTCTTCTGAACCAACACGTCTGTGGAGCGGGAAGAGGACCATTAGTATGTGTAGATGCTGACCAGATCTTATCGACTAGAGCATGGTAGGACGGATGACGGATTCCGCAAAGAACCTTAACCGGTCATGGTGATGTGTGAGAAGTGCGGTATCTCGAGTCAGATGTATGGTTTCTTTTGGCGTGATACTCCTTCGACGTTCTTCGTGCTTATAAATAAATTCATCTCGACGCGTCAGTCACGTGTTTCCAAATCGATCTGTGTTCATGATCGGTGCCGAGTTCACCTCCTGCGCAAGTCGCCTTGGTAAACCTTTCCGCGCTCTTGAAATTCTACAATTAGGATGTTATAGTGTACACATGCGACGGGGTTGCAAGCGACAAGATTCATCAATGTAATGCAGGGGAAGGAAAACGAAGGCACAACAAAACTATTCACATCCAACCTGGCTCATCCATGCTCTACAGCGCTCCAAATCGTGCTGGTAGAAATATTAGGTGGCTCCCCATTAGGCAGAATATCATGAACAGTACTCACGTCACGTATTCGAAGAACATCCGTGACATCCAGAACGACATCCTTCACCGCATCCATCGCCTTGGATACATACACCTGCCAGGAAACTTGCTTGGTTGTGTTTTCTGGGGTGCAAGTTGACGGCGCAGGGCAACGACACCCAGAGTTCCGTTGGAAACGCCATGTTTTCATATCTGCTTCAGTTTTGTAATGGTGAGCGACGGCGATGATGAGACCATCAAGCAGGGCAGAGGCCGTTAGCAGCGAAACAGGAAACTGTAGGAAGTCAGGTTCTGGGGCGTGGTCAGACAATGCTAATGCTGATGAAGTGTGACCAAGAGAGGGTGGGTACCTATCAAGGCACCGAACAGCCTGTCCCATATTTCAACCTGAACTGAAATCCAACCATCTTTCACAGGCTCTGTAGCCTTCCGCAGCGTAGGCAAAGCGAGCCAGAGTTCATCCATAAGACCTTGTGGCGTGATGCTACCGAGACTGAAATCGCAAGCGGAAAGTATATCACGTTGTGAAACCTGATTGGTGACCACAGTATGAGAAAAAAGAGATCTGTATTGACGCATGATGAGTCGATGGAATGATACCTCGAGGTCCTGATACGATACGGAATGCCGTGCTAGATCCAAGAATTCGTACGCATATACAGGACTAAGTGGGCCCAGGAAGTCGCGATGAAACTGCCAAATATAAATAAGGGTCTATGAATGTTTGATCTACAAATGATCCTACCTTGACGCATAGCGCTAATGATCCAAGAGCGGTATCCCATATAACCGCCTCCTCACCGTCCTGCCAATTATCTGACTCGGACTCGTACCCACTTACTTGTTCTCCTTTCACTACGACTGTATCATCAGATGCAGCGTCTGATTCGTCGTCTGAGTCTTCGCCAGTAGATTCGTCATCACTGTCTTCCGAGCTTGATACCTTGCTATTCATTGAAGAGTCTGTGCACCCTGTTGGAGATTGGTCGGGCGACGCGATCGTTGACACGTTGATACTTAGTTTCTTTTCTGCAACACGGAAGAAATATCTGTGAAAGAGATGAATCGCGTGAAACCTTGTGTTTCGACAGGTGTCTAGTTGATCAAAAAGATCATCGATTTCAACGCTGTCTTTTCTCATTGGAGGGATGTTCGGGAGGACCTGTGAGTTTGTCAGCAAGCCCGATCACAAAGGGTAAGTCGACTCTTGCATCCAACATCCAACCAACGACTTCTTTGCGGAAGCAATAATCGAGTCCGAGCGCCCTTGACCATCGTTCGCGACTTTGAGACTTTTCTGTGCACAGAGATGGACCCGAGTTTCGACTCGCCACGGATTCAGATTCAGAGGCGGAAAGCGAGCTCTCGTCGGTCCAGTACTCGTCGTCGGATACGGAGCTCTCACTCTCACTTCGGGTGGAGCAATCATCAGGAATTTGAGGAAGGTCCAGGCCATCGCTTGTACGCTCTTCTCTTTCTTTCGCGAGAAGAATTTTGATCCGATCGCCCGCCCAATCTTCCTCACACTTGATGATCAAAGGGCTAGGAGACCTGGGAGGCGCAATGATGGGGACAGGTGGTATCTTCGTCGATTGTTTAGAAGGCGCGCGGACGGCGGGAGTACGTAAAAGAGGGTTTCTCTTTGCACGAAGATAGTCAACTGTGTCAGGAAGAGGTGTGGCTGGCACAGTAGGGGGGCATTTAGGTGAATCGAGCTGAGCCGTTTCGTACAGGATGGTTGGAAGAAGCGATCCAGTTGGAGGGTCCGACCCGTCCAAAAGCTGTTTTATTGTGCGTCGTCAACTTCCGCGCGAAGGAATATACACGGCATTTTGACAAGAGATCGTTTCAACGAACCTTGGCTACGTCCTCGACATCCCTATCAGTGGAAGTTTGTGAAACAAGAGACTGGCTCTGCGTAGACTGGCTGGTTCCTTTGCCAAAAAATGAGTCCGTGTCTCGGGTAGATCAGGACGATCACTGGCTAGACGATCGATCCTAGCTTTCTTTGTTGGAGGTTCCTGCTCCACACATTCTCCTAGGTCTTCAAGTGGAAGAGTTCCGCGGTTGTCAAAACGTCCTTCGCTCGAGTCGCCAACGGGCGATTGGGGTCTCAATAGCGACTTTGCTGTGCTCAAGGTCTTGTTGGTTCTTAGTCGACTTGATGGATGTGCCATGGTATTATAAGAATTTGAACGTCGCTCAGAACACATTCTGCCGTGGTGCACAAGGCCAGTCAATAAGGAAACTGAGGACTGGATCGTGTACCTCTTCTCCAACTGGAGTCTAGCGGAAGGAGCTTGAGAGGTGAATTTGACAAACGGTGTGTTTTCTTGAGTGTTGCTGAGCAGTCGACGTTTCGTTTTTAGGCAGTCCGAAATCTTCGCAGATTCCGCTTCACCATGGGCGGTGGAATCCGGGGAGTATGTGCAAGAGACAGGAAGGGAATTAGAGGTTGTCTCCTCATTTTCGTCTTCATATGAAAGAGGTTCTTGATAGGCAATCGGAGAGGAAGAGGGTGGTGGTGGGCTTCCAGATATATCGTCCAACTCGCATTCGTGGCCAGGAGTGACTGGAGAAATTGGACTAAAACAGAAGACAGGTATCCAGTGTGGATATATGCGCGTAAATTGGAGAGTTCGATGAGGCTTCCTTGGTCAACTGATGAGATTCCGATGCATGGCTCCGATATATCGTGGTGGCCTTCGATACTAGCCGATGGAGAGCTGGATGGCGTGCTAGTGTTACTTGAGTAGCTGAAAGACGCGGACATCGAGTTACGGATGTTTGACTTCTCCATCCCAACCTCCTAGCCGATTGCGGTTGAAAGATTAACAAGTACTAGCTCTTCACGAGAAAGACTTTGGAAGGTGGTTTAGGTGTGATGAACGACCAAAAATGAGTGTTTTCAAGTCTCTTACGTACTGCCTCCAAGAATGGTAGGCATGACTTTCGATTCCTCGACTCGAGGGGGGGGGGCATCTTGGTGTATATCATAAACGACTGTGTAACAAAAAAGAACGTGTAACAAAAAGAGCGTATAACATGATGACTGCATGCAGCTGTATGTTTTTTGACCGCAAGGAAGCTAAGCGCTAGGCCACCTCACTAGTACTGTGTAAATCCAGTAATAACATTGTTGTTAATGATAGATCCGGCTTTTCCACCACTCGCCTCCAAACCGGACCAATCCCAGTTACCTATCGTGATCTGTCAGAAATGGACTGAGGGAAGCTATAACTCGTATACCTATGCACGATCCACTTCCACAGTTCACTGCAACCCTGTAAGCACCGCTGTTGGCCGTCAAGGAGGTAGTGCCAGAGCTGAAGTTGATATCCTGAGACGGTCCCGTGAAAACCATTGTCGATATCAAGCTAAAATAACACATACAGAGATAGTGACCCCGTTACCCGGGGTGCCCATGTTGGAGGGATAGCTCTGTAGGTATATTATATGATTGACAACGGAAGAGCATAGGTAAAACACACGTACCTGGGTAACCAGAACGCCATAATAGGTACAGTTGGTTGCAGTATTGGCCTGCAAAAAATTCAGTCCACGATCATCATCATCATCATCATCAAAACCACTCACGATATATGTAACATTTTTTACTGCACTGTTTGTCGCAGATGTGTCGGTCTTGATACGGAACGAGTATGCGCTACTCATGTCAGTACAACCCTAATTCACCCTCGTGCTGTAGTCACCTGCTAACAACGTTGTTTCCGGAAATCTCGATATCGGAGACGATGACATTTGACGAGATGGAGCCCTAGACGACAGATATTTAAATAATTTGCACAAAATTGATGAAACGGCTCACGATGGAGACACCGTGACCGCCTTCACAGTAGTTGTCGGTAAAAGTGATGTTTGTTCCCCTGCCGATGGCCAAACAATCGTCCTGCAAAAAAAAATTACCTTGTAGGGAAAGGGAAGTCAAAGCCCAATCGTCAGACGGACCTGATTGAGGACGGTGCTGAATGACCGTAAGTGTCTGTAAGTCGACAGAGTAACACGAAAGTAGACGAACCAATTTTTAATGATTAAATTACTACCGCCAACGTCAAAAGCCGTCGGTGTTGTGTGCTTTTCAGCTGGCAAGTTCAGAAATTCCCAGATAGATGGATGCGCCACTCACCAGCAGAAGATTTGCCGCTTCGCGAGTTAGGATAGTTACCCTGCGCTGTTCTTGATGTCAAAATAAGACACCCCATGAATAACATGCAAGCACGTACAATCATCGACGGTGACGCCAGAGACAGTGAGAGGTCCTGGATTTCCGATCGAAAAGGCGTGGGCAGGAGAGTTTACAACATAAACGTCCTACATGAACAGATCAGCTATCTGTCTGGAACGGCTGGGGCGACTCGAGCGCATACGTTCAAGGTGCCCGAGATAGATATTCTAGCAGACGCAAGATTTAAAAAAGAACACAGTATAACAGTAGCTAATGAACTTACGCCATCATTGGGTGTGGCTTTGTCATGCCGCCACCCGTACCTCGACCATCCTGCAACAGTGTAAGATAAAGAAAACCCTCGCGAGTGAACCAGCGGACTTACCCAGTAGAAAGGCCCTCCGCCATCCCACCTCTGGTTGTTTCCATTAACTGGGAAAGTTAGGAATTGCCACAACTTTCAACAACCCACGTACAAGTGATATCATTTCCTCTGTTAAGACGGTCTGGGTCAGGTTTCCTGAGTCACTGAAGTAGCAGTGCCTGCACTCACCTGACTTGGAATAGGGGACCGGCCCAGCTTACGTTTCCGAACTGAATCTCGCCCACTAAAAAGCATCAGGCATACGCAAAGCGAAGTGTCGGATCACTCACAAACGTTGACAGTGGTACCATCCAGCAGCTGCAATTCGAACGTTTGTCCAGCAGGGACGGTGAACGCGTTGATATTCACTGTCGTGCATTTGATGGCACTACTAACGTCGTTCAAGGACGAGATTGTGCCAATGCAGCTACTGCTGCTGGTTGCGGTGACTGCAGCAATCCCGGCCACGAGAAAACCAAGAATCAACGAGGGGAACATGTTGATTAGTATGAGCAAGCAGCTAGTCTTAAATCTGCCAGAGAAATACGGCTAACGGTACTTGCGAGAACTGAGATGCCTAGAATAATTGATCTTACGCGAAAGCTCCATTACTGATCTGATTTATATAAGGCCTATCATCTAGGGTCGTTAGTCTCCAGTAGTAACTAGCTCAATAGAAAATGTGACAGACTAACGGTCAAAATTATGTTTCTGTACTTCGTCGTCGTAACTATATCGACCATCAATATATGTGCATTATGTCAGCTACTGCCAGTGGAGCTTACTTTTATCTTACTCTGAGCATTTGTGAACAAGTCGGGAAAATTGGAGTATGACAGGACGCCGGGACTGTAGGAAAATTCGGGAGCGAAGGTCCTGCCGGCCATCCCGCGGCAGAACTTGTCTGCAGAACCATCGGAGACAACTTGAACGAAGCAATCTAGTCGTGGTGACTGAAGCACCGGTTTGCTCTCGCAATATATATTACCAGCAATTTCAGGAAGAAAAGACCGGTACTCGGATAGAGGTGTGATACGCTGTTATGAGGGTCGAAGGGACGACGAGTGATAGTAGCCATGGTAGTTATACCGTGAGGAGCCCTCCAACCGGCGTCAAAAAAGGGCGGGATTTTGAGCACAAGACAGCGTAAGCCACCTCATGATGGTATCCAGTGTAATATTGTAGTTAGGGATACCAGACGTTCAATATTCCACCGCTTCTCTACCAAATAAGACCAATCCAAGGTACCTCATGATCGACGATGGTCTGTTAGGGGTAACAATGCGAACACTCAGTCGTGAGCGGAACGGCTGTATTGAAGTATCATACCTAACAACGCGAACACTAGGTATGCGTCAGTACGGTAAGTACAATACTCACCTCAGCCGTGAGCGGAACGAGTCACTGAGGGAGAATTAAAGATCCGAAAACGCCAAGTGCTTTGGTTCCAAACAACAACAAACACGATGCCGATGCTGGCGGCTCTCATACATCGATACTCCCACTCGAGCGAGGTAACAGGCTGAGGCTTTTCGTGAATTTTTGATGCTTTTCCTTAGGTAGCGCCTTCATCACGATGTCTGCGACCATTTCCCCCATGGGACAATAATCAATGACAGTCCATTTTCGCTCATTTATAACTTCTTGCACATGATGATACAGTTGCGGACAAGCAAAGTCCACGAATTCTGTAGGGCCTGCAGGTGATTTTTTTAGGCCAAACCAAGGCTGGATCCAAATACAGGCAGTGGGGATACCCCTAAACACACATTTCCAGAAAATTTTCCACAAGGTTTTTGGTGCACCAAATTTTTGAGCAGTTTGATTGATGTTGTGTACCCCTTTTGGGGGCTCCAAGAGCAGTCCAAGGTACCCTCTGCCAGAATTTGGTCAGAATTATTTGTGTACAGCTTTATTTCACCTCTTTGTAGTTGAAAGTAAGTTATAAAAAGGAATAATTATATCATTTTGGGACATACCAGCAACATACTAGAGGCAATTACATCCATATTTACCAATTTTTAGCACTGAAATGACCCAAGATTATGATGATATTTTAATGGAATCACATACAGGACATCAAAAGGAAGCGATTGGCATATTTTTCATGAATTTAGGAATTCTTTTAGGGGTGTGCCAAATTTTTGGCCTCTGAAACCCTTATATGGTGGTTTTATAAAAATCTGCTTGTACAAATTAGTTACTTTGGTTCCCTATGAATGGATTCCACACTAAAAATGGGTTCCTGGTCATTTGTGGCAGCAGGAAAAATCAATCTTTAGCAATGTCCAGATTGGTGGAGTTTGCTTGTCCACAACTGTACTTTGGGCTAATGTGTCTTGTTTGTGATTGATAGCCCAGGATCTTTGTGAGTGATATGGATCCCTGGTTGTCAGCTAGGAGCAGTGTGGGCTCCTATTGTGTGTAACCCAGTTCATCCATGGGGTCACACAGCCATGTGATCTGCTGCACTGCATTCGAGAGTCCAATATATTTGGCTTTGGTGGATGATAAGGTGACTAGCCCTTGTAGCTTGCTACTCCAGGATATGGCTGCTCCTCCCATGAGGAATGTATAACCCAAATTGGCCCGCAATGTATCTGTGTCACTGCTCCAGTTTGAGTTGGAATACCTGTAGAATATGAGCACATTTTCATGACACTTGATAGGTGAGAAGGTGAGTGCCAAGTCCTTTGTTCCTTGAAGGTAATGCAGATGCATTTAGCAGCCACCCAGTGTGTCTTGCCCAGGTTCATGCTCCCACTGTATAGCAGATGCCTGGGTGTGTGGCCACCATTGCATACATCAATGACCCAATGATGTTTTTGTATGGCTTCCCTTGTATCTCAAGCCACTCATCAGATTTTGGCTCAGGGCACTGTGCTTTTGAAAGTGCCAGGTCAGGATCCATAGGTGTCATGACTGGCTTGCAATCTTGTAGCCTGTACTTCTGGAGCATTCTCAAAATGTATTGCCATTGCAACAGACTGATATTTTTCTTGGCCTGGTCTCACATGATCTCAATGCCCAGCAGATGCTTGGCTTCACTGAGGTCATGCATTTTGAGTGGCTGTAGGAGCTTTCTCTTCATCTTCTTGGTGAACTTCAAACCCTTTGCTGCCACAAGCAGGTCATCAACATAGATGACAAGGAAACAGACATGCTCTTTCTTGTCATGATACAGGTATAGGCAGTGTTCAGCACTGATTCTGATGAATCTGATTTTGATAAGTGCCTTGTGCAGGGTGACATTCCAGACATATCCAGACTGAGGCAGCCTGTACAGTGCTCAATTGAGTGCCTATACATAACCTTCAGGGCAATCTACACTGTCAGGTGGCATGATGTAGATTTCTTCCTTGAGTTTGCCATTAAGTGTTAGTGCATGTTATGTGCATGTGATGACTGCAACACTACAGAATGCCAACAGACATTATATATAGTGGTTCATGTTCATTTTCTCCTTTTCCCCTTAGTCTGTTACACATACAACTGAGGGTACATTTTCTCTGTTTCTTGTTTTGTTATGTTCTGACACTAATAATCTACCTACAATAGATCTAACTGTGTCTAGGTACATAACAATCTTAGTTTGTTACACATACAACTGGGGATCTAACTGTGTCTAGATTTTATAGGCTATGAGCCCTGCACCCTTGTAAACAAGAGCGCAGAAACCTTCTAGACATTGTTAAGTTCAACTTATTGACATAACACACTTGCCACATACAGCATGCCACATTATCATGCTATTTACAGCCAACATTATCAAACATTGTTCCTACTTCCTCTTCAGGTGAGAAGCATTGATAAATGCACGTACCTGTACATATATATCAAGAACCCATCACATTTAGACTTTCTTACTTGCCTCCTTTGTACCATCACTTTGTGGTATGCCAATGCACATGCACTCAAAGTCTCACATTAGAAAGTTCAACTTAACCAAGAAACTGATCTCTCCTGTTGCATCAAGTTCTATGTCAATGCCAATGAGTGCTATCACAAAACCTCTCACTATTAAAGTGCCTCCTATCCAGACCATGGGCACTGTGCCACCTACAATGACATCAGCATCACCCTCCATCACTGCTATTACCTTAAGCCAAATGGATCTTGAGAAAATTGAGGTTCTTGAGTACAGTAAGAATAACTGAGGAACTTGGTCTGATAAAATGCAGAACTACCTGTTACTCAAACACAGTGGTGGATACATTCTTGGAATCATCCAATGCCCAGATAGTCTTGTTAATCCCACTGGAGTTAGTATTTGGGACCTTAATAATCTCTGCATTATCGCAGCTCTCCATATCTGTTCTAGCACTGAGGAGCAAGATTTCCTGTGTACTTTCACTAATACTCATCTCACATGGACTGAGCTAAAGTTGCATCACAAGAAAGTTGGTCCCATTGCACAGATCATCCTAATTCAACAGAAACTCGCTGTGAAATACAAGTGGACAGAACATCTTTCTACTACCAGTACCCATCCCACTGAGCTTGCCCAATGCATATATGCCATTGGCCTGCCAAAGGAAGAGGATTTCTTAACTATACTCATGCTTAATGCTATGAGTAAGGACTTGCCACATGTTTGCAACCATATTGCTAACTCCCTGGCCACCAGTACATCATCAGCACCTTATGGACCTTCCAACATCCAGGCCTGTCTTGGTATTGAGCAACAACTTCTCAACAGTGAGAAGCCCACTGATGTTGCAATAGTGACAACCAAGAGGAAGCCAGGGTGTTCCACCCATGCTTGCACAGAGTGTGGACAGTCATCCCACACTGTCTGTAGTTTGAACTGTGGGAAGTGGTGGTATGTAGTGAAAGACTGTTTCAGGAAAGGAGGAGGTATGGAAGGCAAGAGAGATGAGGTCACTGCCCAAAAATGCACTGCACAGAAGCCCAAGCCAGCTACAACTATGTCCACTGCAAAGCCAGCCACTACTAGAAAGTCTGGTAGCATTTGCTATGATCAGAATAGGCATGCTTACCTTCTTGACAGTGAGAGTTTTGAGGCCATCTACATCATAGGTCCTGCACCTTCCTCATCTGATCTTCCTGCCTCCACTAAGGAATTTGCTGGTTTGGCCTGTGACAGTATGCCCTCTGCTTTCATCAGCAAGCTCCTCAATTCAGACTGTGATGAGTACAATGCCCTCTTTGTTGCCATTGGTTTTTTTGATACTAGTGTTGACTGGTGTTCCCACACCCAGCCTGTGGATTTTGCTGGGCTGACTTACAAGGCTCCAAACCAGCATACACATACCATTATGGACCCATCAGTTCTCCCCTTCTTTCTTGACAGCAGAGCATCTGTCCATATTAGCAACTCTGAATCTAACTTCTATTCCCTCTGCCCAGTCCCTTCCCATTCTGTTAGTGGTGTTGGGGGCTCATCAGTTCAGGCTGTCACTATTAGGACCATTCATTGCATCATTGCAAAAGGCATCCACCTCATGCTGGACAATGTCTTGTTCATTCCTAGTACCACTGTGCATCTCCTGTCAGTGCCTGCTCTCTGTTCTGCACACTGCTATGTGGTATCCTTCAATGACACCTCCTGTTGGGTCCAGGCCTGCAGCAGGACTTGCATGCTCACTGGGTCACTTACCTCACACCATCTCTATGCATTCTCTGGTGGTCAGCTATCTGCTGATCATGCCTACCTGGCACACCATCAACCCAACCTTGAATCCTGGCACTATCATCTTGGTTATGCAACTACTGTGCTGTTTATGGTCTGGCACAATCTGGTAATGCTACTGGTATGCCTATTGACCTTTCATCTCTTCCCTCCATTTATAACAATTGGATCCTTGGCAAATAGACCAGGACTCATGTCCTGAAGGTCAGGGAAGGAGAGAGGGCAACACATAAGTTGGGCATAGTACATGTTGACTTAATAGAGTATCTGGATACTGTTTCTGCAGCTGGTAATAGATATATCATGGACATTGTTGATGACTTCTCATCTTATTCTTGGGCAATCCCTCTAGCATTGAAGGCTGATATTTTTCCAGCTCTGCAGGCCTGGAAACGTGCTTGCAAGCTTAAGACCAACTCTAAGGTTGGTATCTACCATTTACAGTGGCTCAAAAAAGTCTCTCTGTCATATCCCACAATCCAGACCCACATTCCATCACATTCCCACACCTTACAAGCCTATGTGTCATATCCCGTATGCCAGACATAGATCCCATCATATTCCCACGCTTTCCGGACCTATTTCCGGACCCCATATCAGACTCATTCCTGGATCCCCTATCTTGTCCACCCTATGCACATTCCGTCCAGCAAGACATCTGGACTTTACCTCCTCTTGGATTCCAGACTACATCCACCACCTCACATATCTCAGTCCTGTTTCCGCCCTGCCTTCCAGATCCCCAGATCTCCGGACCTCCGGATATTAACTGTGCTATCTCCAGACCTATTCCCACCTTCCATCTGAGATCCTGCACCTATCCCCATTTAGGCATCTCCACCTTTCTGGTTCTCAGTTATCTCTGTTTCCATCTTGCTGATTGATCCTTGTACTAGTTTCATCTCCGAGTTCATTTACTTATGTTCTGTCTTACTTACCAATGTGTTTCTGCATGCTTGTACATAGCCTTACTCCGTTGCTTACTGATCCTCTTGGATATCCTCTAGTATATAACCCCTGTACAACTACAGTAGAGTCCTCAGTCTGAATATCATCTTAGATCCTGTTCCACTTGCCAATCATCTTCTGGACTTCAGTCCGTCTGAGTCTTGTCCTTTTCCATAAAGGCCTAGGGAAGGATTCCCTAGGCTGGAATTCTGGACCTTTGGATTTGTCCCCTATGTCTCTGTCCCAAGTCTAGGGATTGCTTCCCTAGGCTGGAGTCTTGCCTTTCTGGCACTTATCCTCTTTCCGGACTTAGGTCCACTTCCCATCCCTCCGACTCTACCTTAGGGTAGTCTACCTCTGCTTGCTTCTGCATCAGACTTTGTCCGATGTAGCCCCTATTCCTTCTGGACCTCTGGACCTCCTGTCCCTCATACCTCTGGGTATCCTGTCCTTTGGACGTTCCGCCCTCTGTACCTTCGGATGTTCCGTCCTCCATACCTCTGGACCTTCAGACATCCTGTCCTCCAGACCTCCTGTCCTCTGTACTCTGGACCTCCGGACCTCCTATCCTTCCATCCTGTTTTCCTGTAGAAGTATTACCTTGCAGTGGGAACTCTCCTGAACATTTCCTGCATCCCTCCGGAACTCTCCCACGCTCCTCCGGACGTTTCCCGCGCTCCTCCGGAAGTCCTCCCACACTCTCCACCAGAGTAGCCAGCCTCCGGAAGTCCTCCAGACTTCATCAGACCATCATTGGACTTCCTCTGAAATGAAGGGCACATACTCGGGTAAGGGGCACAGCATACGAGCTGAGGCCAAGCCCCTCTGAGTCAGTCTCTCTCTCCTTTGAGCATGGTTCTTAACACTACGTCCAGACCATGCTTCATACCCAGTAAGAACTGGTTATGACGGGAGAGGACTGTAAGTGTCGGGAGGTGTTGATGAAATGAAAATACCAGATGTGCACATTCTGCTTACAAAGTGGGACAACCAGCACATTTTCGAAGTGCTGCTGTAAGATCTCTTGTGCTCTCATATGTTTTTTTCCGCATATGCACATCAGAATCACCTTAGAGCATATAGTTAAACTGCTTGGGTGCTGTATCATAATATGCTAGGATAGTTTCAAATATGATTTCATAGGGTATTGCACACTTCACACTAGGGTCTCGGAATATGCTCAGATAACATAAAATACGATCATATTGTTAGGTATTACACTGGGAGCGCCCATACAGATTGAAACTGCAGGTAATTGAAACATAAAACAGATGCAAAAACACATCAAAAGCAGGTGCGGGAACGTCGCAAGCAAGTGTGGGAACATCGCAAGCAGGTGCGGGAATGTCAAATGCAGGTGCGGGAATGTCAAAAGCAGGTATGAGATCGAAAGCAGGTGCAGGAATGTCGAAAGCAGGTGCAGGCACATCAAAAGCAGGTGCAGGAACGTCAAAAGCAGGTGCGGGAACGTTGAAAGGAGGTGCAGGAACATTGAGTGTCTACTAGTGCATTGCTCCATTGCAAACATTCTTCACCCAAGTGTTGCTGGCAACCTATGCACATCAGAACAGGAACTAACTTTTGGAGATGTTACTCACTAGTGCAGATGCCTCGTCATCATAATTCTGATATAAGACAGTGAGTGCACAATATGCACAATGGTGATGCAATGACTTCGTACCTTGCACTGTTCTGCAGTGAGATCCACATAATACAAACAAAACTCTTCTGTTGTCCCGTCGGTTTTGATTTGCTTGAGCCAGCAAAGAGCACACAGATTGCTTCAAAATTTGTAAGTACTAGTTAGATTGGTGTGAGAAGGACCGTCTGATAGTACATGCCGTCCGTTTCTAGTTGGGCTTGGACGCATCTTCTTGCTAGTTTTACTGGTGCCCTTGCCGCTTGCGAAGTAGGCTGCATATATGCGCACTGAAAATACATTTATGAGCACCAAAACAAAGTATATCGGAGTACTTACTTGTTGTGGGAACCATTGAAGGTGTGGTGTCATTGAATTGGTGAAGGGGTCCTCTGGTAATGGCATGGGAAGATCGGGAGATAGGGGGCCCAGGGAAGGCGTGTATCCTCCGGCTCCCCAGTATGGATTCTGCAAATTATGAGGGTGTGCAGCATGAAGTAAAGACCCACTGCCAAACTGAGAGCCTGGACTTTCACTAGTTGGAAACATGGTTGGTGGTATCAGAGAATGTTGTATTAAGAATTGTCAAGACACTCGATATCAGTTAGTAAACTCTGCCGGAGTTTGCCGCAGACTCACCTTTGAAGGCAAATTTTCGTAAGTCTGTCCTGCCAACTTAACGACAGTCTATTCGGCTAGCGATATGTCCTCATCTCATCAACTTCAAGTTGTCAATAAGACTGATGGTGTCAGTGCTTCATTTATTGACCAGATGGCCAATGTCACATTGCATGACAATGTGCTTGTCATGGAGGTACAAAATCTGCTCAATTGGCGATGTTTCGTGGTTTCTGGTCGAATGAGGGGGGCAAATACAGACCTGTGTGTTTGACTAATTCTCCATGCGTACTCCAAGTTTCTGTGTCTTGAAGGACTGCCCAATCCCACATAGCTATATCATCCATGGTGCCACAGTCCATTGTTCCATGCCAGAGATTGAGACACAGATCACTCAGGTTTGCAGCAAGGTGCATGATGTCTGTGGTCATGCAGTGAGGGATGCTGAGACAGTGAGATGGGCTAAGGCCCATAATAAGGGGAGGCTTCATGATACCTGTTTTGATTTTTCGGAGGTCCAACTGCCATTGATTTGGAGACACTACAAGCTGAAATAGATTTTTGGCATAATCTGCTGATCCTCCTGGAGGGAGTTTGCAGACGTCAATGTCAGGATGATCACTACCCTCGACACACTGATCCTGTGGTTTGAGAAGCATGGGGTAATAGTGCATCACACAAGTTTTGCATCTGCCTCTGACTCCACAATAGATGTGGCAGCTGTTTTTCCTGCTGTGTCCAACCATCCCATCCCAATAAACAAGTCTGGGGCCATCAGCAGTTGTGTAAAGTAGGTGGAGATCCGAGGTGAAGTGGGCATCGTGAGATGCATCCCACATGGCAAGTCCTTCATTTTGAAGTGCTGCAAGATGGTGGATACCGACAGCAAGGAAGGAGTCTACATTCTTGGGCTTGTTAGGGCCTGGTATGAACCCGCCTGGTCAAACATGCAGTTTCCAATAGCGTTTGTCAGGTGCGAGGTTCAGGATGACCCACACGTACATCCAGCAATCAGACTGTTTGCTTTCATAAAGCTGCGCCCTGTCGAGTGATACCATCAGAACTATGTCATTTGCCTTGATGTCGCCATCAAGAACAGCGCCAAGGTAATCGTACCCCATGGCAATATCATCAATGATGGGAATCTCCATGGTTCTCTCTATCTGTGCCAAAATCTCCTGCATGCATTTGTGAAGATAGCGCATATTATGTGCGTTCTCGGAGTCGCGATATAGTGACTGGAGCTGTGGGCCTAGAGGTATAGTGATGAACTTCTGAGCAGCAACTTTATTGTGCCCATTGCTTGCTTGAAGCTTGGCCTGGTCCCAGCGTGACATGGTGCACAAAGGACATTGGTCCAAGTCTGCGTATGGGCCGGTGAATGCTAGGCAAGATTTGGGGCACATATCGTGCTCGATGGATTCAACACCAGTGTATTGAGTAATGAGTTTCTTGACATTGTAGAAGCTGAGCAGGTTGTCAACACCATCTGCACCACCAAAATTCCGGGCAGTAGCTCTGCGAATGCAATTGTATGCATCTTGTGAAGCATGCTCAAGTGCGAGGTACATTGAGATACTTTGATGAACTCCTGGGCTGTTGATAACAATAGGTCCGTGGGGGGGATTACGGAGCCACTCGAGAGCATCATCGCTCAATTTTGCAATTGGATCATCAAGTGAAGCATTCCTCACAGCAAGAACAAACTCCATCATCTGTTACGAACTAGGATAGGCACCAACAACAACTACTCGATAAGAGTAATGGTCGAAGTTGAATCAAGACCTTACAAATGTAAGGGTCATAAGACAAGTCAGAGAGAGTGTCTCTGGCTTGAATATCGGTATCACAACAACTTAAGATTGGGGGTCTTAAGCGAAGGAAGCTCTGGGTAAAACCTAGTAAGATTAAAGTAAAGATCTACTAAGTACATGACTGGGTTTATATAGACATAAGTACTTTAGGGCCAGTACGTATACGTCAGCGACGAGTCATAGATAAGACCAAGTCAGAGATAAGGGTGAGTCATAGATAAGAAAAGAGTGAGTCACCTAGCGATGGCAGCTGTTACAATCGTGGTTACCCCCTATCTCTTTTTCCTCATATACTTGTGTATTACGTCATGACTGCACCCGGCTGTGCCATCATTAGACTAACATCCTTCTATATCTGTATTACAGTACGACTGCCATGTGCCGTCGCTAGCTGACTCACTTCCTTATCTCTGACTCACCTATGATGTCACCAGATGACTCACCAGATGACTCGCTCCCTTATCTCTGACTCGTCCTGATGACGAATACGTACCTGCCCTAAAGCAGGCTAAACCTATATAAACTCGGTTATGTACTTAGATAGACTTCACTTTAATCTACTAGGTCTTACCTGACTATCCTTCGCTTAGGACCCCCAATCCTAAGCCGTCTGATAACTGATATTCAAGTCGGAGACACTCTCTTCAATTTGTCTTAAGAACCTTACATTTGTAAGGATACGATCCAGCTTCAGGCGTCACTCTTATCGAGTACCTGTTGTCGCGCCCATCCTAGTTCGCCGTAACAGCAGCAGCGATCGTGGTGTAATACAGATATGGCAGAAGGAAGTCTAATGATGGCGCCATAAGGCACGGTCATGATGTAATACACAAGGAAGGAATAGGGAAAATGAATAGGGGCAAACATTACTGTAACATTACCCCATGTTTAGGAACGAAGTCACTGACTTCAGTTATCCTGATTGGCCCAGTAGATGGGGTCGGCGTCGTAGTTTGAGTGAAGCAAATCATCTTGCTCTTCAGTGATAGAGAATGATCTATCGCTTAACTCAGCAGCGTGGTAGATAGCGTCCTGCTCGATCTCCCAATGAGAGAGGGCTTTGTAGAAACCAGGGTCAGTCCACACCAGTGGGATGACCACTTCACCTCTTAAGTCTTTACAAAAGACTGATAGGTGTCCAGGTGCATACTCCTTGCAAACCCGACAGTAATATGCAGGGCAATTCTTATGGCGATGTCCAGCAGTGCAGCAGTTGCAACATACAACATTATTGACTGGTGCTGTTTTTACGACAGTGATGGTGGTGGATTGGTCAGGGGGAGAGGGGGATCTCAACTGTTTGAGTGTTTTATGAGGGGAAGCTGATGCAGCTCATTTGGTGGCGATGCGGGAAGATCTTCTTTTGAGCAGGTATCTTCGTGTAGTGGGCGCGATGGGGGTAGGATACAGAGAAGCTGGTACATCAAGTACAGCAATAGGAGGGATATTATTATCCTGATGCTCAGCAGTAGCTGCTGCAGGGACCGGCAGTGGGACGGGAGTGGCAACATGCGGGGAAGGGGAGCATGCGACTGGGTCAAGGGCGATACGTTCTGTGACAATGTGGATAGCTTCTCGGATAGCTTCTCTAGTATCGTCAGGCAATAGACGGATTGCAGTATTACAAATACGGATATGAAGGTGGTGGAAGATGGTCTTATGACACTCATCTTCCAAAAGGTTGGCAGTATGCTTGATGAGGCTGGCGTCTCTGATAATCCTGATAATGAGTCCGCTAGATATTGCTCCTCTCTCTCCTAGAAGGCAATCTATTTCTATAGCGTATTGTTGGGACATGATGGCGGATTCGAATAGAGTGCTAGTTTCAATCTGATCAATGACTGAAAAATAATCAGTAAGTGTAGAGTTGTCAGTGAGGGTTGAGTCAGAGGCTGGTGGGGATGGTACTGGGGAGGATGTGTTATTGGCAAAGTTAATGGCGGTGGCGGTTTGATAGTCAAGAAGAGATAGTGGGTGGGCATTTCCTTCAGCTACAGTGTTCATAGCGGCAGTGAGTTCTTCAATGTGTAATATACAGAGGCGTAGTCATTCGAGGGAGGACATTGCTTCAAGTCTATAACTTGTGAGCCTTCTTATAGGCAGCAAGGATGTTGGTAGCGTTGCTGAGGTTTTCCTCAGGGACCCATTCATTACTGGCGGAGGAGTATCCTTTCCAGGATAAAAGATAGCATCTTTGTTTACCCGTGCCTTTGTGCGATAAGATCGCATCAATCTCATATTCTTCTTCATTATCAATGACATCTGGGGGAGGGTCGTGGAAGTTTGGACCATGAATTTCCATCTCTTGATAGGACGATAGTTCAGAAGCATGGAATGTGGGGTGAACTTTCCACTGTGGTGGTAGTTGGAGTGTGAAAGTGATGGGGGAGAGGATGGCAGTGACTGGGAAAGGACTGTATCGCTTAGGCGTGAGTTTCTGTGATGGTAACTGTGTGATTAGGTTCTTTCCAGATAACCAAACCTTATCTCCTATCTTCCATGGGTGATACTTCTGCCCATGGGTTCATTCTGCCATTCACTGCATAGCGAGGTTATGACAAGAGAGAGCCTCCTCTCTAGATTTCTGGAGAGAGCGGAGTCTATCTTCCACTGCTGGAACTGTAGAATCGGGGAGTGTGTGGGGAAGGGCTCATGGTTCGTATCCCATCATTAGAAAGAATGGTGAGGTGTTACGGGAATCGTGTTTCCAGTGGTTGTGCACAAATTCCACCATAGGAAGATGTTCTACCCAATCTTCAGGGTAATTTTGGCAGTAGATTCAGAGATACATTTTGAGCTCCTGGTTGAGTCATTCGGTCTGGCCATCAGTCTGAGGATGATAAGCGGTGGATGCTGCTATGTTGTATTTCAAGAGCTTGGCGAGGGCACATGAGAACTTGGATATGAATTGCGGTCCACAATCAGAAATGACTTTTTCATGTAGGCTGAATCGTCGGTAAACATATTTGAAGAATTTCTTGGCAACCCCTTCGGAAGTGATGGTTTTTGTACATGGGATCAGAATTACCCCCTTCATAAGCCCATGGTCTACCATGACCATGACAGAATCAAAACCAGCACAAGGGGGAAGATCAGTGATAAGGTTGACGGAGACCTGGGTGAACAGGGTGGTGGCAGCGGATGGGATTGGGACAAGGGGAGGTGTCATCGGGTGGGTATCGGATTTCATCTGCTGGCAAAGGGTGCAGCTGTCAACGTATTTATGGATATAGGTGCCCATAGAGGGCCACCAAAAGTCCCATTTGACAAGTTCTTCAGTCTTAAAACATCTGGGGTGACTGGCAGTGGGGTGATCATGCATTGTTCTAAAATAATATGACGACCAGCAGGATGAACATAAGTGCAGTCCTTATAGTAGAGGACATTGTCTGTGATTTTCCAATCTGCAAGAGCAGACTTCATCAGGGGAAGGGAGAGACCATCCAAGGCATCAGAGGTGGCTTTGAAAATGGGGTCGGGGTCGGAGGGGTCGGGGTTTGCGAGGGAGGTCATAAGTTCGACATCAAGAAGTCGGACAAACAAGGAGTCGGGAAGAAGGGTAATATCTTCATTATCATTACTGGAATCAGTCCCATGGTCAGGATGTCGAGAGAGTGTCAGGGGCTGCGAGTTTGGTCCCGGCAACATGGTGGAGTTCTATGTCATAACAGGATAGGATCAACTGCCAGTGAGCTTGCCTGTGAGTCAATTTCTGAGCAGTGCGGAAGTACAACGGGTTTTTATGGTCAGTGAAGACAAGGACGGGATGGGGGTTTCCTTCCAAGTAATGACGCCATTCTATTAAGGCATGGATGACCGCCAGTAATTCACGATCAAAGATCTGATAGTTTCGTTCTGCTGGGTTCAGGGTCTGTGACAAGTAACTGCAGGGATGATACATCCCATTTTCATCGGTCTGCAGTAGTACTGCACCGGTAGCTACCAGCGAGGCGTCAGTTGCTATGGCGAATTGGCAGCTGGGATCTGGGTTACGAAGAATGGGTTGCTTCAGAAAGCAGTCTTTGAGTGTGGTAAAGGCGGTAGAGCAGGCCTCTGACCATTGGAACATGGTGGCTTTCTTTGTCAAGTCGATCAATGGTCTGGCAATGTCGGAATAGTGAGAGATGAAGTTTCGGTAGAAGTTACAAAACCCTAGAAATAATTGGACTTCTTTCACTGTTGTGGGGGTTGGCCAGTCTCGAATACCATCGGTTTTAGCGACATCCATTGCCACACAGCCTGGGCATATAATCATTCCCAAGTATTCCACTTCTTGTGCATCAAACGTGCATTTCTCCAGTTTCAAAAACAATTTCTCATGACAGATCCTTTCAAGAATGCGCTGGGTTTGGTTGTGATGGGAGGAGAGGTCATTTGAGAAAATTAGGATGTCATCCATGTATATGATGAGCCATCCTTTGTTTATCTCCTGTTGGAATGTCCGGTTCATATATGCTTGAAAGGTAGCCAGGGAATTACAGAGACCGAAAAACATAACGTTCAGCTTAAAGAGACCATATTCCGTGGTGAAGGCGGCCTTCCATCTGTTGTCAGGATGGATACGGATATTGTTGTATCCAGAACGAACGTCCATCTTTGTGAAGTATTTGGCACCATGCAACCAAGCGATTAATGAGAGCGGCAGTGGAAGAGGATAGGCGTTCTTAACTGTCCAGTCATTGATATACCGGTAGTCTTGACAAGGACGAAGGTCTCCGCTTTTCTTTCCTACAAAGAAGAAACCGCTTGCTTGTGGCAATTTTGACTCTGAGATGAATCCTTTCTGCACGTTTTCTTTGATAAAAGCCTTGACCGCTGTCCGTTCAGCTTCTGACAAAGGGTACACCTTGGACGTTTTAGGAATAAATCCAGGTTTCATTTCAATACGGTGATCTATACCAGGTTGTTCGGGAGGTAACTGATTAAGACCGTCTTTTGCGAAAATATCAGCGAAATCGTGAAGATAGGAAGGGACGAGTTCTTCGAATGATTTCTTTTTCTGTTCAAGTCCAGCAGCTAGTGCAAACTGTTGCGCTTTATTGCTGGTCTTGACATATTCCGTCGGTCATGTCAGGGGTGTAACCGTAGGTCGCTGTTCTGCGATGCTAGTACCATCCTTGGTCAAGGGTGTATCCATAGAGACATTGTTAATAACCTGCAGCTCGGAAGTGTCAGCGGGGTACTCGACTAAAAATTCATCGTCTTCTAGGTGGTACGTAGCAATTTCGCATACAGGTGGTGCGTAGTTTGTGGTCCATACATCATCTTTGGTGTCAAAGGAGTTGTCATCGTCATCAGGGATGGGATCTAGGTCTGGGAGTGTCGGAGGTGCTTCTTTGTCTGGGATTTCTTCTATTGTGGCCCGAGGTGTCAGTTCTTTTCTCACAGGAGGCGCCTTTGGCAGCACTACAACTGGAGTTGGTTCTGGTCTTAGATCATTGCTTGAGGGTTTCTCAAACAAAGGCAGAAGGTTGTTCTTCTTCTGTTTGATATCGACTTCTTCTTCTATTTGATCGCTTTTCTTGGTTCTCGAGAGTTCTAGCGTTTCCGCGTTCCATCAGATTACTGGGTCCATGGCATGTAGCCAGGGGATCCCGAGTAAGATCTGATCACGCTGGCTAAGCCACACAATATTAAACTTTCCAATCATGGAACATTTATCTATCTTGACAATGAGGACGCAATAGTGAGTGATGGTGCCTCCTTTTGCATAACTCCCATCCATGGTAGTAACCCAGAATGGTTTCGTGAGTTTGTGCGTTCATATCCTGTGGGTTCTGACGAAGTCCTCTGAGATAAAGGTTCCGGCTGTGCCAGAGTCAACAACAGCTGTTGTTTCGATGGTTTTTAGACGAGTTTTGGAAATGAGGGAAATGGGAACACGAAGCTCCTTTCTGATTCCAATTCTCTGTACAAGTCTGATAGGTACATCGGAAGATTCTGATGTTGATCCAGTCTTCCATATCAAAAATCCTCTGCGAGGCAGCAAATAGCTGTTTCTTCTTCGTCATCACTGTCATTGATCTCATTGTGACAGACTGGGGTTTTCCCATTCTTCTTCTGGGGACAGGCTCTTGTCATATGTCCCTTCTGATGACACGTGAAGCATAATCCTTTCTTCATGTGGTCACTTCTCTCTGCTTCTGAGAGCCGATCTACTTCCATGGCGTTTGGATCGTGTCGGTCGATAGAAGGTCTTGGTATGTAGCGCTGGCCATTTGGCTTGGTAGGGGCGTGATGAGTCTGTCGGAACATTGCGCCTCTTTGCCAGTTGCTGTCTAGCCTAATGGCTGTGGCAACATACTTATCAAAGTCTATGGGAACGGTCTCCATTTGGTAGATGGCGTTACCAATCCCTTTCTTGAGCCCGTTGTTGAAGAACATGATCAAGATGGCATCTTGCTTTACGGATGCTTGCACAGCAAGGGTCTTGAAGCTGGCGATGTAGGAGGTGAGATCGCCTGTCTGCTTCAGGGTACAGAGCTTGTTCATGGCTGTGCTGACAGCGTCTGCTGGTATGAAGGCTTCTTTGAATTTCATTTCAAAATTTGCGAAAGTCCCATAGGACTTGGAGACGGAGTTGTCAACTTCGGTGTAGAAGGTGAGTGCCCAACCCATGGCACTTTCTTTGGTCATGTACGCGAGGGCAGTAATGACTTTCTTTTCATTGGTGTTGTAGATCATCACGTTAAGTGCAAAGTATGCCTTAATCGTGTACAACCATCTCAAGGCCTGCTGGGGCTCCCCATTGTAGGATGTGGGTGCTCCAGCTTTGAGTTCTGCAGTGTTTGTCGACATCCTGAGCATTCTGGTCTAGTGATGCTTCTGTTGCGTAGGGGACGTCTGGTCTCTCTCTATGTCGTTCTGTTTCTGTGTGTAGGGGACATCTGGTCTCCTCTACGTCGTTCTGTTTCTGGTGTCTGGGACCTGCCAGATGGACAGGGTTGGGGTAGGACTTTAATCTTTTGTTATGAACTAGGATAGGCACCAACAATGACTACTCAATAAGAGTAATGGTCGAAGTTGGATCAAGACCTTACAAATGTAAGGGTTGTAAGACAAGTCAGAGAGAGTGTCTCTGGCTTGAATATCGGTATCACAACAACTTAAGATTGGGGGTCTTAAGCGAAGGAAGCTCTGGGTAAAACCTAGTAAGATTAAAGTAAAGATCTACTAAGTACATGACTGGGTTTATATAGACATAAGTACTTTAGGGCCAGTACGTATACGTCAGCGACGAGTCATAGATAAGACCAAGTCAGAGATAAGGGTGAGTCATAGATAAGAAAAGAGTGAGTCACCTAGTGACGGCAGCGGCGATCGTGGTGTAATACAGATATGGCAGAAGGAAGTCTAATGATGGCGCCATAAGGCATGGTCATGACGTAATACACAAGGAAGGAATAGGGAAAATGAATAGGGGCAAACGTTACTGTAACATCATCTCTCAAATTTTTGGAAAGACGGCACTTTGTGTGAGGGTGTCAATGTCGACGTCGGGTCGCTGCCTGCACTCTATGCGAATCTCATACTGCTGTTGTAGTGGCTGCGGGGGAGGTGGGGGTGTGTTTGGGTGTGGAGGCTGCAGTAGATGTGGGGGTTCGTCTGGGTGCAGAGGCTGTGGTGGATGTGGAGGTCCATCATGGTGGGGGAATTCGTCATGGTGCGAAGGCTTGTCATGGTGGGGAGGCTCATCAGGGTGCGGAGGCTTGTCATGGTGTGGAGGCTCGTCAGCCTGAGGTTCGTGCTGCAAATCAGATAGTTAGCACTCCATTCGAGTTGAAGACACTAATAAAAATGGCTGACTCATATGCATTTGTCACATTGAGTGTTACATCTAAGGTTTTCATTCTCCCTAGCTTGTTTGACGAGATCTTGAAGTGCGGCTGTGCGATGAGCACTGGGGGGTATAGATGTTCTGTCAGAAGAGTTTGAAGATAAAGTGCAGCCTGCAGCCACCTCCCCAGCACCCAGTTCCAGCTCCATGGTATGTCCCCATAGTTCTCGGCTAGTTCGCATCTTCTCTCACTCCTCCTCTGTACTAGCCTCTTGTAGATGTCAGTGCCATGTGGATTTGGCAACTCTATGGGGTTGGCCAAGATTGTGCTTGGTGCACAGACAAACATATAGCTGCCTGTCTGAGCTCAAGCTCAAGGCAGGTAACATTCTGAAATATTGAATCAGATTAGTATGAGAGGATGGCACAGATAGTACATACTTGTAGTACAAAAACTCAATGATACGATGCTGGTGCAATGCAATGCAATGCAATGTTGGCGCGATGTGATGTGATGTTTTGCAATGCGATACGACGTCGTTTTACAAAACACAACGAAACTTCTCATGATTCAGCAGATTCCGTCATAGTACAAATAAGGTAACTAACTTCTCAGCAGCTGTGATCCCCTCCGGTCACAACTGGTTTTTACTGGGCTTCATATCCAACTCATTCCCAGATCCCCTTCCACTGTGTGCTCCACACCTCAGCAGGATCGACTACACTCTGGATTTACCCCTGAGCTCTGGACCATTGGATCTCCACTGCTAGCCTAAACCATAACCCCCTGTCCCATCCACCCTATGTACACTCCATCCAGCAAGACATCCAGACTTCACCTCATCTCAGATTCTGGACTCTATCCACCTTCTCATATCCCAGTCCCATATCCACCTTGTCTTCTGGATCCCCAGACCTCCGGATATTAACTCCGGACCTATTCCCACCCTCTGTCCAATATCCTGCACCTATCCCCATTTAGGCATTCTCTGCCTTTCCGGCTTTCAGTTACCTCTTGTTCCGTCTTGCTTATTGATCCTTGTATGAGTCTTCATCTCTGAGTTCATTTACTTATGTTCTGTCTTACTTACTAATGTGTTTCCACATGCTCATACATAGCCTTGCTCCTTTGCTTACTGATCCCCTCAGATATTGTTCAGTATATAACCCCTGTAGATACTCATGTAGTTCCTTAGTTTGAATATCAACTTAGACTTGCCCAATCCTCTCTTGGACTTTGATCCACCTAAGTCTGTCCTACCCATCAGGCCTAGGGATTGATTCCCTAGGCCAGAGCTCCACCTTTCTGGCACTTACCCTCTTTCCAGACTTAGGTCCAATCCCTGTCTCTCCAACTCTACCTTAGGGTAGTCTACCTCTGTTTGTTTCTACATCAGACTCCGTCTGATGTAGCCCCTATTCCTTCTGGACCTCCGGACCTCCTGTCTCTCATACCTCTGGGCATCCTGTCCTTCGGACATTCTGCCCTCTGTACCTTCGGACATTCTGCCCTCTGTACCTTCGGACATTCCATCCTCCTGACCCTCGGACATCCTATCCTTCTGTCCTTTGGACATCCTGCCCTCTGTACCTTCAGATATCCTTCCTTCTGTCCTCCATCATCCCACCCTCCTGTCCTCCTGTCCTCCTGTCCTCCTGTCCTCCAGTCCTCCAGACCTTCAGACCTCCTATCCTTCCATCCTGTTTCCTGTAGAAGTATTACCTTGCAGTGGGAACTCTCTTGAGCACTTCCTGCATTCCTCCGGAAGTCCTCCCACACTCTCTACCAGAGTAGCCAGCCTCCAGAAGTCCTTCAGACTTCGTCAGACCATCATCGGACTTCCCCTGAAATGAAGGGCACATACTTAGGTAAGGGGCACAGCATACAAGCTGAGGCCAAGCCCCTCTGAGTCACTCTCTCTCCCCCTTGAGCATGGTTCTTAACAGTCTCAATGTTTGTGACTTTTCATGTAGTTTCTTTATCATGAGCCAGGGTGTGAGAATATGACTAAGCCATAGGGAGGTGTGGGAAAGCTCTGCCTCTAAGCTTTAAGTTTGATCCCTCTAGCATGAGAAAATTATGTCATGAAGTGAAGACATGGTTCATTTAATTTGATGACTCATTGAGACACTTTTTTGACTTTCAGTTTGACCAACACAATCTTTATAATTCTGGTACTTGGTGTTTCCTCCTGTTGCTCTAATTACTTCTGCCACTCTTCTATGCATAATATCCATCAATATGAGGCATTCCTCATCAACAATATTGCCCCACTCTGCTGCAACTCTCTCCCACAGTTGAAATAACCCCTATTGAGGATCTTGATAGATTGCAAGTGATATCTTGAGTGATTACCAGGGCTGTTTAATGGGGTTGAGGTCTGAGAACTGGACTTGCCATGATAGAACACTGATACCATAGTTTTCAAACCATTTTATGGTCAACTTGAAGTATGCTTAGGGTCATTATCTTGTTAGAAGGTAATGTTTTCTTCATTAATTCTTGATTCTTGCATGCTTCTGAGCAGATACTTTTCCAAAATTGAAATGTGCTGCTTCACATTCATCCTCCCACCCACCTTACAGAGAATTCCTACTCCATTCCACCTCATACAACACCATACCATCAAGTTTCCTACTCTATACTCTAGTGTTTGCTTGACCTTTCTTTCTTCTAGTAGTTCTTTTGCATTTCATTACATATATTCCTAGCTATCTGGCCCCATCCTATTGATTTTTGTTTCATCTGACCAGGTAGCCCTATTCCAGTCCTCAACAGTCCAATATTGAGGCTTTAAAGCAAAGGCCAATCTCCTTCCTATATGGGCTGAAGACAGGAAAGGCTTTTCTGCCTGTTTACAGCTTTAAGATTGGCTGCCTTAAGAGTACCCCTGACTATTTGAGTGGAGAGAGCAGTGTAGATGATGTAATTAATGAATTTGGTGGCTTGAGTAGCATTGCCTAGTTGGAATATTATGAACAAGAGATTTTTTGTTATATGATGTAAGCTTGAAAGGACAATCTAATTTGATATTTTTCTTATCTGGAATGACTTTTTATGATCCTAATGATAGTAACCCTGCTCAGACCAGTTTTAGTAGCAATCTGCCTGGTATACAGATTAGACAAGCTGATGATAATAACAATAGGGGCTATTTCAGCTGTGGGAAAGAGTTGCAGCAGAGTGGGGCAATATTGTTGATGAGGAATGCCTCATATTGATGGATATTATGCATAGAAGAGTGGCAGAAGTAATTAGAGCAACAGGAGGAAACACCAAGTACCAGAATTATAAAGATTGTGTTGGTCAAACTGAAAGTCAAAAAAGTGTCTCAATGAGTCATCAAATTAAATGAACCATGTCTTCACTTCATGACATAATTTTCTCATGCTAGAGGGATCAAACTTAAAGCTTAGAGGCAGAGCTTTCCCACACCTCCCTATGGCTTAGTCATATTCTCACACCCTGGCTCATGATAAAGAAACTACATGAAAAGTCACAAACATTGAGACACTTTTTTGAGCCACTGTAGATAATGGGGAATTCAAGACTGCTTCCATGTGAGAGTGGCTCCTCTCATGTGGGACCCAGTATCAATTCATGGCAGCTTTTACTTCTACTCAGAATGAGTGTGTCAAACACCTTCATTGGATTCTGATGGGTAAAGTGCATGCCATGTGTTCAGCCTGTGATGTTCCACCAAACTGCTAGGACAAGTTTATACTTACTGCCAACTACCTTTCTAACCACACTCCAGTTGCCTTGCAGGTAGGTCATACATCCTACAAACATTGGTTTGCCCATAAACCTGACTTGTCCCATCTATGTGAAATCAGATGTTGTGCTTTTGTGCTTGTCCAGAACCAACACAACCCCAAAATCTTCAATCACTCTGTTGAGCATGTCCTCATTGGATACTCCCTTGATTCAAAGGCCTATTGGTGCTATCACTGTGAATCCCACAAGGTTTTCATATCCTATCATGTGTCTTTTATTGAGTCTCACAATAATAGCTCTACCTCCCTGCACCCTGGATGCATTGTTGACAACTCACCTGCTCCTTCATGTCCTGATACCCCACCCACCACTGATGTCACTGCTCCAGTTCCCCACCCTCAACTCACACCCAACTCTGCTTCTTCTGGCCCCTTGGATGTGCCTCCCATTTGTTGCTCCACATGCACACCTGTACTATCCAAATGTCAATGTGCTGCTAAAGATATACCTTATATACCTGCTTGTTAAGAACCATGTTGCTCAAGGGGGAGAGAGACTGACTCAGAGGGGCTTGGCCTCAGCTCATACACTGTGCCCCTTACCTGAGTATGTGCCCTTCATTTTATATGAGGTCCAATGATGGTCCAATGAAGTCTGGAGGACTTCCAGAGGCTGGCTACTCTGGTGGAGTGCTGGAGGACTTCTGGAGGAGCATGGGAAAATGTCCAGAGGAATGCAGGAAGTGTTCAGGAGAGTTCCCACTGCAAGGTAATACTTCTACAGGAAACAGGATAGGAGGTTCAAAGGTCCAGAGGACAGGAGGGCAGGATGACAGAGGACAGAAAGACAGGATGCCCAGAGGTACAAGGGACAGGAGGTCTGGAGGTCCAGAAGGAATAGGGGCTACATCGGACGAAGTCTGATGTAGAAACAAATAGAGGTAGACTATCCTAAGGTAGAGTCAGAGAGACAGGGATTGGACCTAAGTCCAGAAAGAGGGTAAGTGCCAGAAAGGCAGAGCTCTGGCCTAGGGAATCAATCCCTAGGCCTGATGGGTAGGATAGATTTAGGTAGACCAAGGTCCAAGAGAGGATTAGGCAAGTCTAAGTTGATATTCAAACTAAGGAACTACATGAGTATCTACAGGGGTTATATACTGAACAATATCTGAGGGGATCAGTAAGCAAAGGAGCAAGGCTATGTACGAGCATGTGGAAACACATTAGTAAGTAAGTCAGAACATAAGTAAATGAACTTGGAGATGAGGACTCATACAAAGATCAGTAAGCAAGATGGAACAAGAGGTAACCAAAAGCTGGAAGGCAGAGAATGCCTAAATGGGGATAGGCACAGGATATCGGACAGAGGGTGGGAATAGGTCTGGAGATCTGGGGATCCAGAAGACAAGGTGGATACAGGACCGGAATACAAGAGGGTGGATAGAGTCCAGAATCTGAGATGAGGTGAAGTCCAGATGTCTTGCTGGATGGAGTGTACATAGGGTGGATGGGACAGGGGGTTATGGTTCAGGCTAGCAGTGGAGATCCAATGGTCCAGAGCTCAGGGGTAAATCCAGAGCGTAGTCAATCCTGCTGAGGTGTGGAGCACACAGTGGAAGGGGATCTGGGAATGAGTTGGATATAAAGTGTGGTCCGGACATAGGCTCGGAAGGCATGGGAATATGATGGAACATGGGTCTGGATCATGGGATATGACACTGCTGCTTAGCGCACCATCCTAGCTTCAATGGCAGCCACTGAACAGTTGCAGAACCTTGAGTACACTTCCTCCAACAGTTCACACAACCTTGCACTAGCTGCTTGTGCCACTGATGCTGGACTTGCAAATCTTGAGGCCAAAATTGCCTATCTTACAAAGGTTTTTGCTGCCATGCCTGATAACTTCAAGCATGAACATCCCAGTAACCCAACTACCTATGCCAAGGCCATGAGATCCAAGCACACAGAACAATGGACTGGAGTAATGTATAAAGAATTTGACTTACTTTGCAACCTTGGCATTTACAAGCTTATACCACATTCTGATCAGGTTACAAGGTGATGAAGGGTCGGTCTGTATTTAAGCTAAAATGTAACCAATATAGGGTACCTGCACATTTCAAAGCACACTATGTCTGTCATGGTTACTCTACTGTTTGAGGACAAGACTATACCAAGACTTCTGCACCAACTGCCCATCTTGAGTCCTTCTGTATCCTGGCCTACCTCAGTGCAGCTCTTGACTGGGAGGTTGAGCAGCTTGACATTAAGACAGCCTTCCTCTATGGGCTACTCAACTCTAATGAGGTGTGCTATATGGAGCACCCCGAGGGATTTGTGAAACCCAGTTTTGAGGACCATGTTTGGCAACTACAAAAGGAACTTTATGGCATGAAACAAAGTGGCTTAGTTTGAAACTATAATCTCAATGATACCATGCTATCCTGGGGCTTTAAGTGTCTAGCAAGTGAATACTGTATCTATTTCTGATGCACTGATATCAGTATCCTCCTTATTGCTATTCATGTTGACAACTTCTTTACCATAGGCAGCTTGAAAGTTGTCCTCACTGACTTCAAGACCCAACTCCACACCAAATGGCAAGTCACTGACCTTGGTGAAGCAAGCTTCTGTCTTGGCATTGTAATTGAACATGACCACAATGCCTGTACCATTGCACTATCTCAGATTGCCCTTGTTGATCACATCATTGTGCAATTTGGCCTGAAGGATACTGTCCCCACACTAATTCCTCTGGAACCTGGCCTGCATTTGTTCTATTGAGATTACTCTCCTCACAATGATGCTGAATGTGACCTTATGGCATGTACCCCATATTGGTCCCTATCAGCATCAGTTGGGTCTACTGGTTCCTTTGGTGGCAGTTGCACTCACTTTGCAGGTTTTTCAGACTTTGTCCCTGGACTTCTGCCCTTGCTGTTTCTCACTGTCACTGGGACAGTGTTGTGAGTGACAATGTTGTCCACTTCTAGCATTGGATTGTCACTGGCACAAATGGATTCTGAGTCTGCATTTGGTGGGTCAACAGACACCCATTCTGTTGAAAGAGCTTCTGTGTGTGTCATTACATCTCCTTGAGGTGCTGACTGCTCCCACTTGATGGACTCTGCAGGGCCACCTTGCAATTCTGGTGCAGTTCCAGGGCTATCATTGAAGACCACATGTCTTGATTTGAACAGTTTCTGACTTGCAATGTCCAGAAGAATATATGCCTTGGTGGCATACTTGTAGCTGAGCAAGATACATCAACAAGCATGAGGATCAAGCTTGGGTCATTGGTCTTTTGGTATCAGGGAGTAGGCTCTGCAGCCAAAAGCTCTCAAACCTAAGATATTGACCTTGCAACTGGTGAGTTTTTCAAACAGTGTCTGTCCCTTTATTCCTAATGCAGGACCACATGCAATGAGGTAGGATGCTGTGCAGAATGCATGGGACCAATAGGTCTTTGGTAGCCCAGAGTCAATCAGCATTGCAAGGGCACAATTTGTGAGCATTTTGTTCATTTGCTTGGCAAGTCCATTCTGTTTGGGCATATCAGGTATAGTTGTTTGATATACAATTCTGCAGGAATAAAGATGTGCTTCAAACTATGTAAGAGGTACTTTCCTCCATTATCTGTGTGAAAAACACAGACCCAGTTGTGTGAGAATTCAACCTGTTTCAGCTTGGTGTTGTGTAATGATTCAATGGTTGCTTGCCATTCCTTGAACTTGGCTAGTGCTTCACTTTTGTGCTTTATAAAGAATATCCATGGGTAGCATGTATTGTTGTTGATGAAGGTGATCCAGTACCAGGTGACTGTAGTGTGATAGGTCCACCTATGTCTGAATGTATCAAGGCCAGCAGTGCTACAGCTGTTTTCCTTTCATGCTTGAATGGGAGCTTCTTCATCTTTACTTTTACATAGCTCTCACAGAAGTCTTCCTTGCCTATCACTGACATTATGCCTTTTAGGTACCCCTTGATTACTATGCACTTAATGCTTTCATGGTCCACATGGCCAAGATGGTGGTGTAGCACATTAATATCAGTCACAAGGTGTGTCAATTCACAATGATCAGCTACTGAAGTGATAGGTTCTGAAACAAGATGGTACAGGTTTCTGTGTCCTTTGCCTTCTGTAATAATAACATCACTTGTCTTGTCTTATATCTCACATGTTAGGCCATTGAATATGATGCAGTGGTGATGTGCCAGTTGTCATATGGATAGCAGCATGACTGTGAGGTTAGGGGCATACAGTACATCATTGATAATCAGGTGATGCTGTTCACCTTGGAGGTGTTGCATGCATTGCATGGAGTCATCACCAAGGTAGATGAGGACAGGTTTGTGCAGCTTTTGATAGGTGGATTTGACAAACTAGTGTCTGTGAGGTGTCATGTGATGAGAGCAGCTGGAGTTGATGAGTATGTCCTTGGAGTGATGAGTAATGTTCACACTTATAGCCAGCACATTTCATTAATGTCTTTGTAATATAAATACATTCATTGCAACAGTGCTTTGTATAGGCATGTTTGACTTTCTCACTTCTAGTCTTGGTCTCAATGCTGCCTGTATCTGATTCATCACTGTTCAAGTCTATATCCAAGTCCATATCTGCCTTGTTGGCTTTGGCCTTGCTGGACTTCTCTTATTCTCATGGTTTCCACCTCTGTTTCTTACACTCCTTCTTTGCATCCTTTAGATCCTGACAATCCTTTGTGGCATGGCCATGTGACTCATGGTAATCACAGTATTGGCCTTGGTCATGATTACTGCTCGTACCTGTGGGGGTATTGGTGATGAGGGCAGATGGTGGTTCTGAGGGTGTTAAGCTACCCTTGACAAGTAAGGATTGTGAGAGGAGTTGGGTAGAGACAGTCTCAAAAGTGAGCATGGAGTTGGCAGAAAGTGACTAGAGCAGAGATATTGTGAATGTGTCCCAGATAGATATGGATGGCAATAAAATTAACATGAGGAATGCTTGCATCTCATCCCTAATTGCCTTTCTCATCGCCATGAGTTTTTGGTTGTCAGTGGCAAAGGTGGCAATATGCTCTTCCATTGACAAAGTGTTAGCATACTTCCACTGCATCATGCTCCTGAGTGTGAAAAATGTGTTTAGCCCTGGATTGGTGCCTTGGTGAACCTTTTCAAGTTTCTCTTATGTAGATGTGGCAGATATCTTGTCAGCAATTAGGTCTAATGTCTCATTGCTAATGTACTCAATGATGATTCTGAGCACTTTGTCATTACAAATTTTCCAGGTGTCAGAGAGTTGATGCAGTTGAGAGTGCAGAGGATGAGGGAGTAGTGGCTGAAGTGGACAAGGCAGTGGCAACAGCAGACTACTGGATAGTGGAGGGTGCACTGGCTGGTGTTATAAACTAGGATGGTTCTAAACAGTCAAGTTCAAAAGAGAACCATCAATGACTGAGTTCGTTATCTTAAACAAGAGAGGATTGTAAGACTAACAATGAGGAGTGCTTGTTATTAGAATCAAAGATTCAGACAACTAAGAATTGGAGGTCCTTAGTGAAAGATCAGGTAAAACCTAGTAAGATTCAAGTAAAGTACTATGGTGTATAAAGTCACATATTTATAGAGAATAGCTAAGAGAGTTTAGGGCAGGTGCAAGTAAGTAAAGATACAAGCAAGTGCCTAATAAGGATAAAAACAACAAAGTCAGTGAAAGACTGAAATGGGACAAACAACAAGATAACAAATGATAAGATCATCTAACAATGGCAAGTAGTAATCATGATGTAATACAATGTGAGACAAAAAGAAAAGAGAATAGGGGTATACATTGATTGTAACAGCTGGCAGTGTTGATGGGTCTGGGTCATCTCCAGAGACAGTACCCCAGACTTTTTCCCACTGCAGTTTTCCTTGGATCCAGATCTTCCAGGTCAGATAGTTGTGTTCAGACAAAATGGGAATGTTAGTCAATATTGACTTGTTGCCAGTGGTCCACAGGTTCATGGAAAGTTGTTCAGTATTAGTTACCTACTAGACTTGCACAGTTACAGGGCTCATAACCTAACAATGCAAACACTCAGTCATGAGCAGAATGACTATATTAAAGTATCATACCTAACAATGCAAACACTAGGTATGCATCAGTACAGTATTGGGTGAGTAAGTACAATACTCACCTCAGTTGTGAGCAGAACAACTGAGGGAGAATTAAAGATCCAAAAATGCTAAGATAGATCTCAAGCAGTTTCTGCAAAAATCATGTGATGTGACTTGGCCATGACTTGCTGTGACTTCACTTTTGATTACTCATTTGGTACTGCAACTCTGGAAGCATACTAGCAGCGCTACAGCGATGATATACAGTGGCTCAAAAAACTGTCTGCATGTTTTGACATTTTTCACTATCTATGATATTGTGTGAGAACTCACAAATGCCTCAAGGACATGGTTATACCACATTGTAGTATGGCTTCAGGGCTTTCATTTGAGCCCTACACCGTGGGAATTGGTGGAGATATGGTGGAGATACAAGGCTCACAAAATGGTGACTCATGCGGACAGTTTTTTGAGTGTATATTAAAACTATATAAATCATTATTTATGACACCACAAAAATCATGCCACTATTATATAAATTATGAAGTGGTGTCATTATGTTATTTTATGACTATATCTAACTATATAAACCAGAATATCTCATGTATCATAGTCATAATCACCATGAAAGCTATCTCCTCTGCTCAAAGAGATAATATCCTCTCTCTGTCTTATGCTGGCCTCTCTGCTTGCCAAATTTCCTCTAGAACTGGAGTATGCAAGTCCACTGTGGCCAAGTTTATCAAAGAAAGCCACCCAGACAAGGAAAACTCTTGTGAAGGACATCCATCCAAGCTTACCTCTACTGACAACAGGGCTATTATCCAACATATCACTACAGGAAAGGCTGATAATGCTGTCAAAGCCACCCATTATATCAATTCCACCATCACTACCCCTGTCTCTTCACAAACTGTGAGGAATGTTCTCAAGGCAGTAACAAAGAAGAAAAAGCCTCTTCTCTCCATCAAACATAGGCAGAGAAGACTAGCCTTTGCCTTAGCTCATCAACACTAGACTGTAGAGGACTGGAAGCATGTTATATGGTCAGATGAGACCAAAATCAATAGGATTGGGTCAGATGGGAAGGTATATATATGGAAAAAGAAGGGAGATGGCCTAACAGACAGAGAGGTTAATGGGACTGTCAAGTTTGGAGGAGGTTCTTTAATGATATGGGGCTGTATGGGATGGAATGGTGTGGGAATGCTTGCTGAGGTTGAGGGGAAGATGAATGCTGAGCAGTATGTGGACATTTTAAATGACCACTTGCTGCCTAGCTTGGCAGAATCAGGGATTGATGAAGAAGATATCATTTTCCAACAGGATAATGATCCCAAGCACACATCCAGAAGAGCTAAGGAATGGTTTGAAGAACATAACATCAATGTTCTTGACTGGCCAGCACAGTCTCCTGATGTCAATGTCATTGAACATCTCTGGGGAACACTCAAGAAAAAGCTTCAAGCCTATGAAAACCCCCCTAAAGGAGTATGGGAGCTTTGGGAGAGAGTAGCAGTGGAATGGGAGAAGATCACAGCTGAGGATTGCCAGAAATTAATTGAGAGTATGCCTAGAAGGATAGAGGCAGTAATTAAAGCCAAGGGAGGTCATACAAAATACTAGAATACCTGGTTATTATTGTAAAATACTTGAGTCAAAAAACTGTCTGCATGAGTCACCATTTTGTGAGCCTTATATCTCCACCATATCTCCACCAATTCCCATGGTGTAGGGCTCAAATGAAAGCCCTGAAGCCATACTACAATGTGGTATAACCATGTCCTTGAGGCATTTGTGAGTTCTCACACAATATCATAGATAGTGAAAAATATCAAAACATGTGAACAGTTTTTTGAGCCACCATAGAACAAACTTGCAGGATTTACAGTAATTAGGATATCATAAAATTAGTAGGTACATGTTACAGCTGTTTTAATATATGATGGCAGTGGCATCATTTTTTTTGTAAATTACACAAAATATGATTTAGTAGTGAATAGCCTCTGTCACATCATGGTGTTCTGCAAGATCAGCAACAATGTCAAATGAGCAGCCATCTATCTTTATGAGCACAACTTACTAAACCTCCAAGATATTCTCAACTGCTGCAGGTTCTCACAATGGATGTGGTACCATGTCTTGAGGCTGTGGAGAGACACTGGTGATGTTGCCAATCACCCAATGTCTTAATAACCGAGGGTCTTATATAAATGCATGTAAAATGTAATGACACCACAATTACACTAGGATAAGACTTCTTGCCAGTCCTCAATTAACATGGTCTATGACTTTTCTTCTTTCATGGTAGATAATGTGTGAGTTCTTGGGAGGCTTGCTAAACCAATCTATATGATTAACTTAGTCAGAGCTTTTGTGTTATATCCCAACTTATAAACTTGTCTAGGATAAACTGTCTAGACACTGGAATGTGGTTCCTTGTTAAGATAATCCTCTGTAGAGACTATGGTCTCAAATATGAATACATTGACCAAAGACTGGTTGGTCAAATAGGCACAAAGTGGTGAGAAACTGGTCTCACAAATAATCAGATTGACCAAAGCTTGTGTTGGTCAATTTCAGTAAACTAGGTGAGAAGTGGGTCTCACAAATGAACAGATTGACCAAAGCTCATGTTAGTCAATATCAGAAACTAGGTAAGAAGCTGGTCTCAAATAAACTAAGTTTCTATTGTAAGAAACTTATGTAATTTCAAGGGAATGTCTTTTCCCTGCACTTGGTACTTCAAAGGGGCTTTCTTTGTAAGCAACAATCTTCACAGTGAGTAGCTCAAACTGAGATTCAAATGATTGCAAGTGGGAGATCCTATTTTTTGGGGGGGGAGAATGGGCCCTCCTTATATACATTTTGTGTGGGAATATTATGTAAGTAAAAAAGCGGAGCAATGACATCAGAAGTGGAGCAGAATATTCCAGAAAGTGGAGCAGAACATTCTAGCAAGTGGAGCAGAACATTCCAGAACAAATGACATCATAACTTTCAACAGAATACTTGCAGGAGTATCTGTGGAGCCATATGACATCATTATGACATCATACCCTGTAGGTACAATTTTGTGAAGTATCTGATGGGTCAGAGCATCCCAAGAGAAAAATAAATCAAGGAAATACTAGAGAAAACAACTCAGAAATAATAATACAATAACAAGACACAAAACACAGGTTTTTTAGATAGGTTTTTTTGTTAGGCTTTGAACTTTTCTCTATGGTTTTCTCTAGCCAAAGTAAATAAGCCAAAGGCAAGGCAATACCTTAACCTTCTTGCTTCACAATATCAACTAGGTCATTATGTGATTCCCATCTCACAAATGACTTTTCTTCAAGATATAATAAATTCATGAATCACAGAGAGGAAACTGAACTATATGACCAAGGTTTGAAACCAAGGTATGGGTTGACTAGCCTGATGCCTAAGCTAACAGACTTTGTCTTTTAGGGGGGCTACCTAGTAGTCATGTCCATGCATGATTCCCAAATCATGCAGGACACTGAGGGGAGTTCATGGCTGTGTGCATTGTCTGGAATGTGAAGACATTGAATATCTCCTAGAACTTGTTCATGACAACCTTGACTACTTCCTTGATGAGCTTGTCAGCCTCACAAGAACCAACAGCTTCATATCTATTCATTTCACCACTGTCTTCAATGAACTCAAATGTGCTGGTATGAGCCAAAAGAAACTAAAATGTATTGCTGAAGGTGAGGACTTGCAACTATGAGAGAAACTGACTACTACTAAGGGAACTCTACAGCAAGACCTGAATGCAAGACAGAACTTGACCCAAAGGACAGCTACTGAGAGAGAGTCCTCAAAATGTCTAAGGGAGACTCTGAAACCAAATGGGCGCTAGAGGATGCACAAACACTGGAAGAAGTGCGATTGAGATGTGTGCAAAAGTGCACTGGGGCAATAGAAAGTGAGAGTGCATGTGATGGGGGTCTAAGGCATAGAGGCAAAGGCTACCTGGAAACTAAATCCAGTGAAGAAGGAATCAAACTGGTGCAAAGTGGTCATGTCTATGCAGGTAGTGTGCAAATTTGGACTTTGGGGGCCTTTAAACTTGCTCTAATGCACATACTACTGCTAAATACACAGAGGTGGGGAGTGCTAGGATAATGTGTTCTCAAAACTATAAGTCCCTTCTCTATATTGAGTGCTAGGCAACACTTGTAGCATGGAAGTGAAATGAGTAGGTAGCAATATCTATATGTAATGGCACTTAAGTGCACATGTGCACGTTTACAGTGCAGTGGACTTTAGTGAGGACATGGATGGGTGGATGGACTGTAGCAGAGGACCTAGAGTGGGCATGCTGGACATGCAAGTGTGTTTGCATGCACATGGTGGTTGTGCATTAGCATGTTGAAGGTTCAACTACTCTGCCAGCTTGCAGAGTCTAAAGAAAGAAAGAGGGCTCTCACTCTGGGGTGAGAGGAAGCCTACTAACTCTCTAAGTTGTTGGTTGAAGTGTGCCAGGCAATATGTTCAACCCTTAAGGGAAGCAAGGAAAGCAAGATCCATGAAGTGACACCAGGTCAACTCTGGTGAAGTGCACTGAAAGCACACACATGGGAATATAGAGTGTGTAGGAGCATGAAGTGTGGGAATAATGCACAAGCTGTGCACAAATGTATAAGAAACTGAAAGATGGCATGAAAACATGAACTGAGACTGCCAAGTGGACTGGTGATGATAATGGACTGTTGCTGAGGACTAGGGCAATGACTCTGATAGATGTTAACTCATGATGATGGATTCTGACTCTAGATGACTACTGACATGATGGTGGTTGGTGTATTAAAAAACTTTCCAGACAACAGGCAAGCTGTGCCTAGGCATGCTCCCAGGGCTCAGAAGCAAATAGGGAGCACTCTATGTATGTAAGTGAGGTAAATAAAGGGTCCATGATGAAATATAGTGTCATATAATGCTAAATATGGTCTGATAATGAAAATAGATGAAAAGGACTCACTAGGGAACTGGTTGGACAATGGATGGAGGCTCCAGGATGCTGCACAACATAGTGCAACTGAGCATGGGAAGAGCGCGCTAAGCATGTGTGCAGGAATGCATCACATAGTATGGGAAAGTGTTGCACCTCTGGTGTGTTTTGCAGGATAGTCATAGATAGTGAGTCATGTGCTATACCAATCATCATGAGTTGAAATATGGGTGATCTATGCCTAGAGCAATCTCATTCTCTACAACGTGTAAGTGTGTGATAGTGTGAGTGACTTATCTTAAGGATCAGAGTTGGAGTATGTGTAGGAACAAGTGGACACTCAGATGGCATTATGGGCGCTCATCAAGAGGAAAACAGGCACATGCACATCAACCCTTTGTCCATGGGCATTGTGTTGGCTTGGAAGCACTGTTGACTCTTGATGTCATTGTTGCATGCACTGCTGTTGAAGGTTCTATGACAAAAGAGCTCTTTCTTGAGTGGCTGGAATTTACTGTTGTGAGTTACATATCAAGCTACATTCTTGGACATCTGACAAGTCTGATAACCTTCTAGTTACCAAAGTGCTCTGCATATCCAGGCCCATTGAGTGTCCTTGTGATGGACAATGCTTCAATTCACCATGGTGCTGAGATTCTCAAACTTGCAGACCATTTTGGTTAGTCTATTTGTGATTTCCTCTCATTCCTACAATGATTATCACGATGGGATGCATATACCAGGTGTTTGCATTGAATTCCTTTTGCCATACTCCCCTGATCTCAATCCCATTGAGGAAGCATTGTTGAAGATCAAGCATTTCCTTTGTCATCACCACAAATACTATAGTGCAACCACAGATGATGGAATCCTTTATGATATGTACGAGATTGCTGATATCATTACACTGGATGATGCCCATTTATTTTGTACACACTGGATACTTTTGATGCTAGGTTACAAAATAACAACTTGCAGCATTAAAAGCAACTTGAGTAACAGTTCTTATTGTACAATATAATGTCCAATCATGCCATACTAGTAGGAATAGACCACCTCTAAACAGCATCACATAATGCAGCTATCTCACCAAACTTGAACTCCATCTCCTTGAGGTCTGAAAAGGTCACATAGTGGAGTAAGTGTGCTTCCTTACATGAATGAGAAGCAAATTTCATAGTGATGCTATTGTCGAGCTGGTACAGGGCACAGAAGGCCATGATAGACATGTCATTGCCAGGCTTATGCAATGGGGGAATGAGTGAAGATGTGGAGATTTGCACTGGCCCAATGTCTGAGGTTGTGTTCGGAGCTGTGTGGTTTGACTTGAAAGACTTGCAAACTCATTGCTGAATGTGACATTGACAACAGGAGTTAAAGATGCAGGTTCTGTCACTATCTTGGCCTATGCATTGAGTCAGCACTGTGAGACTGGGCTGATGGCCTTCAGATCAAAGAGTCAGTGGTTTGGGGGCTTATCAATCATTGCATTGCTTGCCTCCTTACACTACTCAAAATCAGTATCACAACTACATATGAAACACCAGAGATGAAATACCAACCATTGCAAAAGCCCAGCAGTCGAGTTGTTGATGTCCAAGTGGAAAGTGTTCTTCAGATCCAGGAATCACATAACAATGGGTTGATGCACAGGCAGAATCAGTCTTTTTGCAGATCCAGCAATCTCGTAAAAGCTGAATGTTTGCTACTTTCTTTTCATTTCATGGAAGAATTGCAGCTGACTCTTTCTGTGGAAAAATTGTGAAATAATTATCTATAAGGTCATTGAATATATACTCATTTCTTTGTCTTGGACTTTGCGAGCTCTGATTCATCCTTGCCCTGGTTTTCATTGTTGTTGCTAGCAGGCTGTATTTGGATAACATTGATGTTGATAGTCAGAGCCTTCGCAGCCATTCCATTGACCCATTTCATCATACCATTGTAGTCAGCCTTAGTCAAGAGAGATAGGCCAGGTTTAGGTAGAACCTGAGAGATGTGATAGGTAAGCAAGTAGTCATCAAAATGGAGCATGCAGGGATTGATTGCTGTTGAGATCTTCACAAGAATCTGTGCTTTGAGAGTGTCTGTCATATCTCACAATCTGGACCCACATTCCATAATATTCCCATGCCTTCCAAGCCTACATCCAGACCCCATATCCAACTCATTCCCAGATCCCCTTCCACTGTGTGCTTCACACCTCAGCAGGATCAACTCTGCTCCAGATTTGCCCCTGAGCTCCAGACCTCTGGATCCTCACTGCTAGCCTGATCCATACCACCCTATCCTGTCCACCCTATGCACACTCCATCTGGCAAGACATCTAGACTTTACCTTGTCTCAGATTCAGGACTACATCCACCTCCTCATATCCTGGTCTTGTATCCACCTCATCTTCCAGATCCCCAGATCCCCAGATCTCCAGACCTCCAGATATTAACTCCAGACCTATTCCCACCTTCTGTCTGACATCCTGCACCTATTCCTACCTTCTGTCCAACATCCTGCACCTATCTCCATTTATACATCTCCACCTTTCTGGCTTTTGGTTATCTCTTCTTCTGTCTTGCTTATTGATCCTTGTACAAGTCTTCATCTCCAAGTTCATTTACTTATGTTCCGTCTTACTTACTAATATGTTTCCACATGCTTGTACATAGCCTTGCTCCTTTGCTTACTGATCCCCTCAGATATTCTCCAGTATATAACCCCTGTACATACTCCTGTAGTTTCTCAGTCTGAATATTATCTTAGTTCCTGCTCTCTCATCTTAGATCCTGTTCTCTCAACCTTCTCTTGGACTTTGGTCCACCTAAGTCTATCCTATCCATCAGGCCTAGGGATTAATTCACTAGGCCAGAGCTTTGCCTTTCTGGCACTTACTCTCTTTCTGGACTTAGGTCCAATCCCTGTCTTTCCAACTCTACCTTAGGGTAGCCTACCTCTGTTTGTTTCTATATCAGACTCCATCTGATGTAGCCCCTATTCCTTCCAGACCTCCAGGTGTCCTGTCCTCCTAATCCTCAGATATCCTGTCCTCCAGACCTCCTGTCCCCCTGTCCTCTGGACCTCCTATCCTTCCATCCTGTTTCCTATAGAAGTATTACTTTGCAGTGTGAACTCTCCTGAGCACTTCCTGCATTCCTCCAGAACTCTCTCATGCTCCTCCAGAAGTCTTCTAGCACTCCACCAGAGTAGCCAGCCTCTGGGAGTCCTCTGGACTTCATTAGACCATCATCAGACCTCATCTGAAATGAAGGGCACATACTCAGGTAAGAGGCATGGTTCTTAACAGTGTCCCATGGTTCATCAGTGCAAAGGTCAATGGATGCATTGACTGGCTCTCATTTGCTCTTGGCCTTCTTCATTTCACTAGCCGAGAGGATAGAGACCATGTATGAGATATCCTTTGTGACAGGAGTAGTAGGTTTGTCATTCCCACCTATCAGGGATCTGAGTCAGTACAAAACCCTGACTATATGCATCAACTTACCTCATTTTCATTTCTTTGACACTGTAGAAGGAGGGGGTAGGAATCTTTGGTGGTACAATAGGGCCTGTAGCAGAGTCTAGTATTTCAAGTTCTTGTGATTCATCATCGTCGGTGTCTGTTTGATCAGTATTGGGATTATCATCAACTTCCATGAGTTCTAGCTCATTGAGAGCATCAAGAATAGTACTGTGATGGTGTGTCATTTGCAAGTCACTATTGGTATCATCATCAAGACTGTCAAAACTGTTATGTCTCGTGAGCATAAGATGTTTGTGCATTGAGTATGAGTCAAGCACTGATATGATCAGTCAAAATTGTTCTAAGTCCTAATTCATGTAGTTGACAAAAAAAAATGATGTCACTGCCATCATATATTAAAACAGCTGTAATATGTGACAGTTGCAAGAAGAAATAATATGAAGACTATGTTCAATTTAAGTGTGCACCCTTGAGTTCTGACATTATTGCTGAAGGGAGCATGCAATGGCCTTGGTATTGCTTTGTAGCCCAAGCTGCTGTGATGATCATACCAGCACTAGGCACGTATGATCACTAGCATGGTTCTTCTCACTCCCAGGAAAGCATACTTGGATTGCCTAATGCCTCCTGTAACATTGCAAGCACAGTGCCATTCCATGGGACAAATCTTCAGAGTCCTCTTGCATGGAACATCCCACTAAGTGGGAATCCTTCAAGTGTGGCCAATGTATAGGAATTGCCAATTTTGGCAACAATGCGCCATGGGGCTGACCATCATGGCTGTAACTTGCATGCCAATGCCATGGTAAAATCTAATGCATTAACATAGACTTGAACTAATTGTCCTTCTTCAAATATTACTTCACCTGCATGCAATTTAAGGACCTTCTTATCAAATGTGCTCTTTTGCCATGCTGTATGGGTCACTGTGTGATCTGCTCCATTGAGTCATTGTTGATCCACATAGGCCATGTGTATATCAACTTCTGTCTTGTTTGGCTCTCTCAAGGCATTGTCTCCTGGCATGGGGATGGTGTTAACCACCAGGCCTAGCATGAGTTCTTTGGGTGAGAATTTGAAGGCAGGGATGATATGTTCATTCAATTGGTGGATAGCACTGTTAAAGTGATCTGGCCATGATTTGGCTAAGCTCTCTGCATCCGCACTCTCATATTTGTCCTCCCCCAAGCCTGGACTGCATAGTCTTTTCAGACGTCCTATCAGTTTCCCATTAGTGCTTTCTACTAACCCATTCACCCATGGTACATATGCTGCTACAATGTGGTGCTTAGTTCCATGTGCTAAACACCATGTATGAACATCTCCATTGTCAAAGTGAGATCCTCCATCCATCATGAATGTGTCCAGTGCTTGAAAGGTGTTTGCAATAACCTCTAGTCCTTCAACTGTGATCTGCGCATTACTGTGTTTCCTCAATTTGAACCCCCAGACGTATTGTGAGTACATATCTAGGATCAACAGGATGTTATGATACCCATTTTTGCCTTATGGAAAGGCTAGATAATCAGCCACTAGGAGTTCAAAGGAGTGACATTGAGTGATGGGATACATGAGGGCATGTAGCTGTGTGGGACCAAAGTTTTTGCACTGAGGACAGTCGAGTAATGCTGTGATGATGGATTTGTCTAGGTATGGGCTAACAATGCAATCCATCAACTGCAGTTTGGTGAGGTCTCAACCCCAATGTCTATTGCTTGCATATACTTGATGTGCCAGTTCTACTGCTTCAGTTTGGGAGATGCACTCTAGTCATGCTTGCATTTGTGTTGACTTGCCATCCACTATATGCCATAATCTTCCTTCTTCAATCATATATCCTAGAGCATGGTAACGTGCTCTGTGGCATTCACATTCTGGTTTGTTACTGTCAAGGTCAAGGAGCACTTCTATGACCTCTAAGAAGAGAGGCTCTTGCTTAAATTGTTCTCACAAGTCTAGGATCATTGTGTTAGTATGTTGTACCAGCAAGAGATCATTTACTAAGCTGTGTGCTGTTTCCCAGTCTTCACTGACTAACCAAGAACTCCCATCTCCATCTCTACATGGTTGACCTGACATGCAGCAACTTAAAGCATCTGCTGCTATGTTAGTGATGCCTGGACGATGCTGGACTGCAGTTATTTGATACACTAGTATTCCATCACACCAATGTGCATGTATAATGATAGCTTGTCACTGATCAGTGTGTCTCGCAGTGCTATGCAGTCCATCTCCACTTCTACAGGAAAGCCCCATACTGTTGATCTGAACTGGTCAAATGTGAACTTCAGGGCTGCAAATTCAAGTAGGTAAGGTTTGTAGCATTCTTCTGATGGTGAGGTATGTTTTGATGTGTATCCAATTGGGTAGGTCTTCTTGGTGGTTTTGCCTGATGGTTGCTGTATTGTGAACTGTTGTGCTAATACAGCTCTAAAGCTGTCTTTGCACCCATTGCTCATGATGATGAAGGGTATCCCATCGAAGTTAGGTGCTCACAGGATATGTTCTGACACTAATATTTGCTTGAGCTTTACAAATGTCTTCATGTGTTGCTGTCCCCAATATGTGTCTAGCTTGTGTTCATGTAGGTATTGCCTATACTTCCATTTCCCTCCTTTCATGCTGAGCAGAGGTAGATCTAGATTTCATAGAAGATCCATTGGTGGTAGTACTACATGTGCATAGTCTTTGATGAGCGACCAAAAATATCCTGTAAGACCTAGAAAGCACATTAGTTCTAGCAAGTTAGTGGGCACTGGCCATTCTGCTATGGCTGTGATTTTCATTAGATCTGGCTGTATACCATCATACCCTACACGTGATCCACCAAAGACAACTTCTCTCATGAAGAGTTGTGTCTTTGTTGGTGAGATTGATAACCCTTGTTCCTGACATCTTAGGAAAAAAAGCCGTAACCTTGATAATAGTTCATCAAAGCTATTACCTGCCATTGCTCCATCATCAACATATAGTTCAAGAAGCAACTGTACCATTATGTCATGTATTGCTTGAGCTGTAAGGTCACTGAAACATGATGGCACACCTTGTACTCCAATTGGCATTCATTGATAGGCTTCATATCCTCATCCTACAGTGTAGAAATATAGGTACAGTTGACTCTCCTCTTCCACAGGAATTGCATAGAAACCTGCTGCAAAATCCAAGATGCAAATAAATTTGTGTCCCACTAAGCATTGTTGTTTCACTGCTATATCTCCTTGAGGTGTTGGTGCTATGTTAGATACCTTGTTTACATCCCTGAAATTCTGACATATTCTCCATTTGACCTTGGACAGGTCTACCTGTTTTGGACTAATAACCAGTGTTGATTCCATGTCAATGGTATGACCCAGAAGCTTACCAAGTGCAACACATTGTTCATTAACAATCTGTCAGATGTTGTCAAGTGATAGGCTGGTCCCTGAGTGAGTCTTCTGTACCAAGACTGTTGAGGCTACTGCTTTGACTCCATCTGCTGGGATAAACCGCATGATTCCTGCTCACCTCATATCATCTAAGACTGGGAATAAGTACTTGTGTTGAGGCTGTGTTAGCAGCCTTTGATGGACTTTCATTGAGAATATCACATCTCGAGATATCTGTAGATGGAATTGAGTAAAGTCTACTGGTTTTACTTCTCGAATTGATAGTGCAAATATGTCTGCAAATTCTACAACTAGAGCTTTTGCCTTCTGCAATTGTTCTTGACTAAGATGGTTTCCAAAGCAGACGGCATCAGTGATTGTGCTTATGCAAGGTGGGTGAAATGGTCCCTGTGCAGTAAGTCTAGTAAAGATGTCATCAGGTAGCATTGAGTCTACAAGGTCTGGTACTTCACCTAATATTTGTTTATCATCATTCTCATCTTCCTCACTTACGTGTTGGACTGCAGGTATTAATTCTGAAGGCTCTTTTGTCTGCAATTCTGGCCAAGGCAGTACCAGTGTTACAAATTTTGCTGAGGATGGAAATTGGATGGCTGTTGGTAGACATGGTGTTGGGAGAGGACAATAAGTAGAGTAATTGGGGATGCAGTAATGTGATGTTCTATACAGCAACATGATGGTGTCAGCGCTATACTCATGTATTGCACATACCTGTTCTAGTAGTGGTTTACCAATGAGCATTCTCCATGATCCCCTGCTTGGAAAATTTTCGAAGGTTGTTTGCACTTACACTGGTCCCCATGATAGCATTCCTGTCCATACTCCTGTTGATGGTACTAGTGCTCCATTAGCCATGCACAGGGTTCTAGTTGAAGGACTCAGCAAAGAGAGGCATCTTGCTATGCATTGATATGCTGCTGTGTCAATGGCATTGATCATTGCACCATTGTCCACAATGGCCAGGAATCATATTTTCTCTCCTTGAGGTCCCTGCAGATGGGGTACTGTCAAAAACGGGTTGCTTGTTCAAGAGGTTGTTGGTTTGCCTGAGGCATCCAACTGATAGACATCAGTAATAGTATTGTCTGGCATAAATGAAGGTACAATTGAGTTAGTGTGCAATAATGATTTAAGGGACAGCGACTCTATGCTTGCCAGTGAAAAAGAAGAGGAAGAAGGAATGGTATCTACAGTGCTTTGTGCTCAAGGCATTTCTTGAAGCATGTGATGAAATGTGAGACTGTTCATTTGGTTAGAGAGTGAAGTAGAAAGTGGACTTGGTACTATGGGAACTACTGCTGGTCCAGCATCAGCAGTGGTTTCATATAGTTTTCTAGCATCCAATCATATCCTGGTTCTTGCACAACCCAATTATCTTGCCCATTCCATCCTCCTGGCTCCTCCTGTGGTGCTACCATATATACTGGCATCATTCCTGTTGCTCCATATGCGCTGTGTTGAGGGTATATGGCAGTTGTAATGTGCTGGACTGGAGTAGGTGTGTAGTTGGGCTGATTCATTGGTGACACTGTCCTTCTGATTAGTCCTGTAACTTGCTGTCACCAATGTGATTCTTGTGGCCTCAATGGTTCTTGAGTGATGCATTGCATACTGACATGCATTGGTTCTGTGACCATGCCACAATTGTAGCACTCTCCTGACCCAAGGACTGCTGTTCCTGGATGCAGGGGGTAAGGCTTTTCTAGGGTCAGAAATCCTTCTATACCATGCATGTGGTGCCATAGCTCAATGTCTGCCTTGTATTGCCATATCCCTGCTTCTGTATTGACTCATTGGGGCATTATTGCCAACTTCTCTAGGACTTGCACTCTAGTTAGTTGCACATGCATGAAGGGTATTCCTCTCGCATCAAATCCTCCTCATGTCAATATTGCAGGGTTGTTTGTGGTAGGGACCGGTAGAGCTGAATAGGAGGGTGGGTATATGGTTCCCATGGTGTTTGTTGTTGTCAAGTTGGGTGGTATGGGTGTTTGTGTTGCTACTCAATAAGTCAGTGTGCTGAGCCATTGAGTGCTTTGGGCTTTGAGCCTTGCAATATCTGCATCCCTTGTGTGCTCCTTATCTAGCTCTTTACAGCCTCTCTTGAGTTTAACACTTGGTATACTCTGTACATCATTTGTGAATTCATCCCAATCCTCATACTTGCACTTGAGGTAGTCCTTCAACAGGTTCGGTATACCTTTGACCACATATTCAATCAGATGCCCAGCTGTATCTCCCATCCCTAAGGCTAGCCATGACACTTTGCTTGCCCAAGTGACATGTCCATAGTTGCCTTCTGTCCACAAGCCAATCTTACTCTCCTCCAACAATTCTGCCATAACTCACTCTTTCTGCTGTGCTCATGTGTACCCAGGCTGTCTGGGAGGTGGCCAATACTTCTGAAATGCAGCCTTAAGACTGGAGAATAAGGTGAGCTTGCTGGGTGATAGGCCTTGGAACCATTCTTCTGCTATATTTCCTGGTGCAAGCTGCATTTCAAATCATTCAATTCATTGTGATTTGTCCCATGACACTGGCATCAACAATTCAAACTGAGCAAACCATTCCATTGGCTCTTCCTTATTTGCGTAGTCTCTGTGAAAGAGTGACACTGTACACGGGTTTTTACTAGACATAGGTATATGTGGTGAGCTTGACTGTTTTCTGATGGGTAGTGTTGCTATGTTGATAGCTGGCATTGGCATAGGTCAGGTTGGGGTCAGGGAGGTTGCTGTTGTTGGGGACAATGATGTGCTCTTGTCTTGGTTCAGAGTGAAATGCACTGGTTGAAGCAGGAAGGTGGGGCTTCTGGTTTCTTCCTTCACTGGTGAATCTAATAGTTCTTGGTACTCCTTCAAATGACAGGGTAGTGAGATGATACAACATCATGGGGTAATCAGTGTTTGGTTATCTGAATGTGTTGGAAATAATATGGAATGAGTAGGGGATAGACTTAGGTTCCTGCTGTTTCCTATAGGTGTGAGCCTGCAAATTCTTGCACAAGTCTCTATGTTGATTCATCCTAAGCTTGAGCTGCATCCAATGATTTCATGACATTATGTTCTAGATCAGCCCCCCCAGATGATAATGGGTAGCAGCAATACAGCTGCTTTGCATACCCCTAGCATTGTTCAATAAAACTGAGCTCACAATGAAATTTTGGAAGGAAGAGCACCTTGAAGCCCCTTAACCTGCACTCTCTCTCTCCAAGTTCAACTCAACATTAACAAAATCTGGCTGGTGATAGAGAATTCAGCAACAACAACAACAAGTGGAACCACATGGACAGTTGAAATCCTTGCACCAAGGCTTTTGTTTGCTGACATTGAAACCATGCTCCTCTAGAATTTTGGCTATTCCCTTGAATAACCCAGCATTTATGTGACCCTCAGGAAAATAGAACTCCTGAGGGGCACCATTGAAGACACTATTAGCAATACAAACTGTTTGCATCAAAATCTTCCCATCTCCACCACACTGGGTTTATTTTCCTGTGGCATCCCTCACTGGAGCACTGACCCCCCAGTTCTTGCAAGTCTTGGGCATGTTCTGAGCACTTAATGCATCATCAGCCCTTTTAAGGTGTGTTGTTGCATTGTTGAACACAAAAATGTGGTCATCTTCTGGGTAATCTTTCTCCAGGATTGTTATTGCTTTCTTAGCATGTTGAAGAATTTTGTCATTAGTGAAGTACCCATCCCTCCCCTTTCCTGCCCTAAAGAGCACATGGGCAGATTGATTCCCATCATGAGACCACAATCAGCCATAATCTGCTGAAACAACCATAAGAGAAGATCCCTCACCCTTTGGTTGTGGAGTTGCCTTTTCATCTTTGTGGACCTAGCATTTTTTGCACCAATCATTGGTATAAAAGGTGGATTCATTGTGGAACCATACAACAGTGCACCACCCAGTCTCCTTATCATCCTCCAGCTGCATAGCATCAACAAAAGACTATTTTCAAGTCTTTGGTTCCAATGCATACCACACTGGCAGGAATTTATTCTGTTGATATTTGACTGCATCCTCTCATTCATGGCCATTGACATATTGTCCATTTTTGGCCATAGTCCATCAAAATCCACAGTTTTCCATCCATTATTGTGTGGTTGCCAATGAAATATTTTTGGTAAGCTTGAAATGTTGCTGTACATCAGGCTGTGCAAGATAATCAATAATTGCTATTGCAGAAATATATTTTCTGAGTGACTGAAGATGAACCAGTAACTCCTCCTTAAGATCTTCATCATCAATCCATGATCTTGTCCACTCACCACCATACTTTGCCAATGGCAAGTTTTCATGATCCAGGATATATGACTTCAACCATTCCTTTACCTTTCATTGTTACGACGAACTAGGATAGGCGCAACAACAGATACTCAATAAGAGTAACGTCTGTTGTTGAGTCGAGACCTTGCAAATGCAAGGGTTCTTAAGACAAGTTAGAGAGAGTGTCTCCGACTTGAATATCGATATCAGACACTTAGGATTGGGGGTCCTGAGTGAAGGATGTTTCAGGTAAAACCTAGTAGATTAAAGTGAAGATCTGCTAAGTACATAACTGAGCTTTTATAAGTATTCGTGGCTTTAGGGCCGGTACGTATTCGTCATCAAGACGAGTCAGAGATAAGGCATACGTCATCAGAGGAGTGAGTCATCTAGCGACGGCTGCGGCGGTCATGATGTAATACAGATATGGTGAAGGATTAGCCTAATGATGGCGCAACGAGGCGCAGTCATGACGTAATACATGAGTGAAGTGAAGAAAAGAAATAGGGGTAGACGCGATTGTAACATTACCCCTCATTTAGGGATGAAGTCACTGACTTCAGTTATCTTGATTAGCCCAGTAAATGGGGTCGGCGTCGTAGTTTGAATGAAGCAGGTCATCCTGCTCTTTGGAAATGGTTTGCGCCATCTTGGCGGCGTGAGCGATAGCGTCTTGCTCAATCTCCCATCAAGCTAATGCATTGTAGAAGCTGACGTCAGTCCATACCAGTGGAATGACTGCTTCTCCCTTCAACTCTCTGCAGAAGACCAATAAATGGCCAGGCGCATACTCTTTGCAAACTCTGCAGTAATACGCGGGGCAGTTCTTATGCCGATGTCCGGCAACGTGACAGTTGCGGCATATGACGTTGTCGATTGACAGTGTTTTTACGATAGTAGTGGAGGAGGACTGATTTGGGGGGGAAGGTGATCTAGATCGTTTAAGCGCTGTTTTAGTTGGGGAGACTGAAGTTGCTCACTTAGCAGCGAGGCGGGAGGATCTTCGTTTAAGCAGGAGTCTATGTGTAGTACGTGCGATGGGGTCAGGAGAAGGAGAAGCTGGTACATTGAGTACAGCAATAGGAGGGATGTTATCATTCTGATGCTCCACGGTAGACGTAGTAGGAGCTGGTGGCAGGACGGGAATAGCGACGTGAGGGGATGGTGGTCGCGCGACCAGGTCGAGGGCAATGTGCTTGGTGACAATGTGGATAGCTTCCCTAATAGCATCTTTAGTTTCCTCAGGCAGGAGACGGATTGCAGTATTGCGAATACGTATGTGAAGATGGCAGAAAATGGTTTTATGATGTTCATCATCCAGGAGGGCGGCGGTATGGTCAATAAGGCTGGCATCTCTGATGATTCTGATAATGAGACCACTAGATATTGCCCCTCGCTCTCCAAGGAGGCGGTCTATCTCTATAGCGTATTGCTGGGAGGTGATGGCGGATTCGAATAGAGCGCTTGTCTCTACTTGGTCAATAACCGAGAAGTAGTCTGTGAGGGTAGAGTCGTCGGTGAGAGTGAGGGTGGAATCGGACACTGGTGGCGATTCAGCGTGTTGGGCAAGATTGGCGGTGGTAGCATTTTGATAATCAAGGAGAGTTAGCGGATGGGCGTTTCCTTCGGCGACGGTGTTCATGGCAGCAGTAAGTTCTTCAATGTGTAAGATACAGAGACGTAGTCGTTCGAGATGGGACATTGTTGGGAAGTCTACAATCCATGGGTCTTTTTATAGGCAGTGAGGACTTCGGAAGCATTACTGAGGTTTTCTTCTGGAACCCACTCGTTGCTGGCGGAAGAATATCCCTTCCATGATAAGAGATAGTGTCTTCGTTTACCTGTTCCTTTATGCGATAAGATCACATCAATTTCATATTCTTCTTCATTATCGATGACATCAGGGGGTGGATCGTTGAAGTTTGGACCGTGAACCTCTGTTTCGTGATAGGATGATAGCTCCGAAGCATGGAACATGGGGTGAACCTTCCATTGTGGGGGTAACTGGAGTGTGAATGTGATTGGGGAGAGAACGGCGATGATCGGGAAAGGGCCATATCGTTTGGGTGCGAGTTTCCTTGATGGTAGTTGTGTAATCAGGTTCTTCCCGGATAACCAAACCTTGTCTCCTATCTTCCATGGGTGGTACTTCTGTCCATGAGTTCGTTCTGCCATTTGTTGCATAGCAAGAATGTGGCAAGAGAGTGCTTCTTCTCTGGACTTTTGGAGGGAGTGGAGTCTATCTTCTGCTGCGGGAATAGTAGAGTCGGGAAGGGTGTGAGGAAGGGCTTGTGGTTCATACCCCATCATCAGGAAGAATGGTGACACATTGTGGGAGTCGTGTTTTCGGTGATTGTGCACAAACTCTGCCATTGGGAGGTGCTCCACCCAGTCTTCTGGGCGATTTCGGCAGTAGATACGGAGGTACATTTCAAGCTCCTGATTGAGCCGTTCGGTCTGACTGTCGGTCTGGGGGTGATAAGCGGTGGATGCAGCTATGTCGTATTTCAAGAGCTTAGTGAGGGCTTGTGAGAACTTGGATATGAATTGTGGCCCATGATCAGAAATGACTTTCTCGTGCAGGCCGAATCTTCGGTAGACGTATTTGAAAAATTTCTTAGCGACTCCTTCGGAAGTGATGTTTTTTGTGCAAGGGATAAGAATTACCCCCTTCATAAGGTCATGGTCGACCACGACCATGACAGAATCAAAGCCGGTGCAGGGGGGAAGATTGGTGATAAGGTCGACGGAGACCTGCATGAAGGGAGCTGCAGCGACAGATGGAATAGGAATGAGGGGGGGGTCATCGGATGAGTGTCGGACTTCATCTGCTGGCAAAGAGCGCAGCCTTCTATGTATTTATGAATATAAGTGCCCATAGAGGGCCACCAAAAATCACGCTTGACCAATTCCTCCATTTTGAAGTGTCCCAGATGTCCGGCGGTGGGATGATCATGGCATCATTCTAAAATAAGATGCTGTCCGGCGGGGTGGACGTAGGTGCGATCTTTATAGTAGAGAATATCATCTTTGATTGCCCAATCGGCGAGGGCTGATTTCATCAGGGGGAGGGAAAGGCCGTCTAATGCATCGGAGGCAGCAGTGAAGATGGGGTCGGGGTTGGTGGGGTCTGGGTTAGCGAGTGTTGTCATGAGTTCAACATTGAGAAGTCAGACAAACATGGAATCGGGGAGGAGAGTTTCATTGGTATTATCGTCCAAGGAGTCCGATCTGTGGTTGGGGCGACGGGAGAGGGCATCAGGAGCGACAAGTTTAGTTCCTGCAATGTGATGAAGTTCAATGTCATAACATGATAGAATTAATTGCCATCAGGCCTGTCGGCGAGTTAACTTCTGGGCAGTCCTAAAATATAGGAGGTTCTTGTGATCTGTAAAGATGATAACTGGGTGGGGATTGCCTTCCAGATAATGACGCCATTCCGTCAAGGTGTGAATGACTGCAAGAAGTTCGTGATCAAAAATCTGATAGTTACGTTCTGCAGGGTTCAGGGTTTGTGACAGATATCCACATGGGTGATAGACTCCGTTATCATCAGTTTGAAGCAATACCGCACCCATGGTGATGAGGGATGCGTCAGTTGCAACTGCGAATTGTCTGCTGGGGTTAGGGTTCCAAAGGACTGGTTGCTTCAAAAAGCATTCTTTTAGGGTAGTGAAGGCGGACATGCACTGTTCTGTCCATACGAATTTGATGTCTTTCTTGGTGAGGTCAATTAAGGGTCTCGTGATGTTGGAGTAATGGGAAATGAAGTTTTGATAGAAATTGCAGAATCCCAGGAATGACCGAACTTCTTTCACGGTTGTAGGAGTGGGCCAATCTTGAATACCATTGGTTTTGGCATTATCCATCGCCACACATCCGGGGTGGATTATCATTCCGAGATACTCCACCTCCTGAGCGTCGAATGTGCATTTCTCAGGTTTGAGGAATAGCTTCTCTTGCTGAATTTTCTCCAGGACGCGTCGCGTTCGTTCATGATGGGAAGTGAGTTCCTTCAAGAATATCAGAATGTCGTCCATATATATGATGAGCCATTCTTCGTTTATCTCTTGTTGAAACGTTCTATTCATGTACACTTGAAAGGTAGCGGGGGAATTGCAAAGACCGAAAAACATGACATTTGGTTCAAAAAGACCATATTTGGTGGTAAAGGCAGCCTTCCATCGATCTTCTGGGTGAATACAAATATTGTTATATCCTGAACGAACGTCCATCTTGGTGAAGTATTTGGCACCGTGTAACCGAGCGACTAGGGAAAGTGGTAACGGGAGTGGGTAGGCGTTCTTGACCATCCATTCATTGATGTAACGGTAATCCTGGCAGGGGTGAAGATCTCCGCTCTTTTTTCCTACAAAGAAGAAGCCACTAGCCTGCGGTGACTTTGACTCGGAGATGAATCCCTTTTTCACGTTTTCATCAATGAACGCTTTGACCACTGTGCGTTCTGTCTCAGATAGCAGATACACCTTGGACGTTTTAGGGATGAAACTGGGTTTGGTTTCTATCCGATGATCTATACCAGGTCATTCGGGTGGTAGCTGATTTAGACCGTCTTTTGCGAAGATGTCGGCGAAATCATGAAGGTAGGGGGGAACGAGTTCTTCAAATGACTTCTTCTTTTGCTCGAGTCCAGCAGCTAACACAAACTGTTGTGCTTTGTTACTGGTTTTGATGTATTCAGTAGACCGCAGCAAGGGTACAATCGTAGGTCGACGTTCTGCAATACTGGTGCCGTCTTTAGTTAACGGGGTGTCCAATGAAATGTTGGTGATTACCCAGAGCTCGGTGGCATCAACAGAGTATTCAACCAGGAATTCGTCGTCTTCCAGATGGTAGGTGGGGATTTCTCGTATGGATGGTGCATAGTCCTCTGTCCATACGTCTTCTTTTGTATCAAAGGATTCTTCATCGTCATCGGGGATTGGGTCAAGATTTGGCGGGGTTTCTTTGTCGGGGATTTCTTCGATGGTGGCTCTGGGCGCTGGTTCCTTAGGTGATGCAGTCAGTGTTGCGGGGCGAGTCTTCGGCAGTGCTACGACTGGAGC